TCCAGCCTCTGGGAAAGCTGCTCTACTGCTGGCTCCCCACCTGTGTTCAGTGGGTTATCGGGTCCCCTGGAGACCAGGACACGACAACTTCCCTGCCAGGGCTCCTGCCGAGCTTCGGGTAAGGCAGGTGGGCCCTGAACCTCAAATGTGATGAGTCCTTAATGAATTAGAGTGGAGAGAAACAAAAGCCTGGTGGGACCTGGATGCCTATGCTCGGCTGGAGCATCTGCCACCCGGGATTTACTGCAGGACTAAGGGAACTGGTCACCACAGCACTTGAATTTGGGAGAGCAACAAGCTCTGCTGCTCCCCAGGGCTGGTAGGACGGACTTGGCTCCCTGGGGTATGTGTCACCGCATGGGAGAGGTCACAGTGCCGGGTTTTGGCAGTATCAGAGGTGCTTTGGGTATGGGCATCTGCACCTCAGGACTTCATCTCTAGTATGGGGTGCCAGCAGTTCCCACGCACAGGTTTGAAAAAGGGCCTGAAAAGCTTGTGAGGAGCTGCAAGAACCGGCTACTGGGAGACAGAATAAACTTGTAAAGGAGTAGAAGGGTGCAGTTAAGCTCAAGAAAGGAGCTGCTTTTTGGGAACTTTTTCTTTCACTCCTTTCCACCCCTCACCCAAAGACCCCTCCTGCTTGCCAGGAAACTTGGTTGGGGCAAGCATTTTGCCACCTGGCTTATGCACGCACCAGTCAAGGAAACAATTCTGCAATTGAAAGAGGAAATCTCAGTCCCGGCTATTTCCAACCTCTATTGTTTGTTACTCAACTCATGCATTACACAGACCAGTAAGCAAGGCAGCAAGATTGCAACACTATGCATGTGCTTTCAGACATTTAATTTTAGCATTGCAAGAAGGATTTGTGGTATCGAGAAAGCCCAGTTCTAAGGAAAGAGGAAACCTGCGGTTCTGACACTTGATTTTGACCAAAAAAGGAAGCAGATCATTTGAGTGACCTAACAGGTTCAGTCATTTAGGCTGTAATCTCTGGGAGCCCAGCAGATCCCTGCTGGGGTTTTCCTATTCCCAGGGAGCTGGGTCACTTGGGAGCCCTGGGCAGGGCTGAAGTCCTCAAGCAACTGGAACTTTGTGCCTCAGATTAAGGTGCTGATCTTTGGACCTTTTCTCTGGGCAGCACGGGACCAACACAAGCCCATTCTCAAGCAATCTCGGGCTGGGCCGGGCTCTGCCAGCAAGCGTCAGACCTCGACATCATTCCTCCTACAGACCCAGATGTGTTTATAAAGCACTTGTCAACGTGTTGTCCAAAATCTTCCCAACTTTCCCCAGTACTAGGGCTCTCCTCAGCTGCAGCTGTAAAAGGCTGTTCAAAAAGAAGTTGGATTTCAGGTATTTAGGAATAAATGGAGCTCCGGAGGGAGCTCTTGTGCAGCACTGGGGCCGAGTTCAAAGTGCAGAAGCCCCCTTTGCCTTGTCCTGCACCAAGTGCTCTTCTTCAGTTCCCTTAGTTCCCTTCCAGTGGGGGCTAAAAAGGCCCTCTGCACTGGGAAGAAAATTGGAACCGATGCATGGCAGCTCTTCTCTGCAGGGACAGGCCCTGAGACAGCGAGGACCTGCCTCCACGCCGAGCCAAGGCACCTTATCTGGAGTTGACAGCAGTCCCTGCAGATAGCCTGAGCCTGTGATGTGAGGATTCCCCCTACCAGAAATGCAGCAAAAAAATAGACAAATATTCCAAAATCACAATGGCTTGGTGATAAGTCCCCCCCCCCGACAACAAACAAGTGCCAAGCAAACCCCAAACCTTGGCAGCTCCTCACCCTGCCGCTGCCAGGGCAAAGGCACCAGGCACTGGGATGAGGCGAGGGCCCTGCTGCACGCCCAGGCGTGGGTAGAACCTGCACCCCACGTGCCCCAATTTTCTCCCCGATGGCTGCAGAGAGGGCTATCTCCGGGACTCCCTCGAGAGCCTACTGCAAGACTGCCCAGACCTTGGGGGGGGGCATGGCTGCGCTGGCCACTTCCTAAAATGCAGAAGCGCCCTTAGAGTTCTTTTGAAATCTTACAGATATAACATGATTTCAATTCCTCAAAAATGGGGTTCTGCATGTGACCAGAGGCACTGTCCTCTTTCCTCCTGGTCCCTTCCCCTTCCACCAACGCACGTGTGTGCAGCTGGTGATGGGAGCTGGGGAGTCTCCTTCTCCTTCTTTTTGGCGGTTGCTGGGTCTACGACGTGTGCCTGTTTCATTGAGAAAGTTACCAAATCCCAGCAGGTTGTGAAAGGGGAGAGGGAAGCTGGAGAAGGTGGGACAGGGATGTGTTTTAAAGAAAGAAGGAAATATTCCTTTTTCCAAGTACCTGGTTGTGCAAGACGCTGAGAATCTTGATTTGACCGTGAGACAAAACCATCGTGACGTAGCTCTGGCCGAGGGTCAGCGATGGCCCTGTTTGGTTTGTTATGTCAATGAAAAAAAGGGGAAAAAAAAAAAAAAAAAAAGCCCTTCTTGTTGCAACTCTTGAAATAGCTGGGTTGCAAGATCCTGCCTCACCTCTGCAAGGGTGGAGGAGCTGGGAGAAGGTCCAGGCAGCCCCCTGAGGGGCACCCTTTGGCTCTGTGCGTTTTTGGGGAGTGAAACAGGGCTGTGGGTGCTTCCCTGCATCCCCGAAAAGCTGAAGAAGTTCTGACAGAAGGAGGGTGTCCCGTGGGCTCCTCCACCACCATGCTGGTTCCCAACAGCAGCCTGGGAGCGGGGGAAGCATCAAGCATCCTTCACTTGTCTGCACCCAGCAAGAAACCCAGACCGGCTGGCGGGTCAGGGATTATGGAAGGGGGAAGAGCAGGCGAAACGTGCTTATTGAGAGCTAAATTCCACTGCGCAGACCAGGGTAACTTCTACTCCTGCATATCCCTGTCCTTCTCACGCACAACACGCCAGTGGGGAAGAGAGCGAGGTTTTTTCACCCAGTGGAACCCCAGACTGCGAGACCTGAGCACGAAGTCCTTGCAGTATGTTTTTGCCGGTTGGCCAGGGTGGCCAAGGGCAGGACACGGGGAATCGGCGAGGCCCCACAGCCGTTCAACCTGCAGCAGGTGCCCCTGACCCCCCCCCCGGCGTGGGTTCACAGCGGCGTGCCCCGCTGGAGGGCTGGAGCGTGGGGGCCGTGCGGGAAAAGGCGCTCCCAGGACACGGCTGGGAAGGTCAAACCGAGGGACAGGTGCCAGAAAAGGGGCCGAGACTGTCAGGGAAAGAGGAGACGCTGAGGGGACCGGGCCACTTCCACCCGGGGACCCGGTGGCTGCAGAGGAGTTGCCCGGGCTGACCCCCCACCCCCCGTGCCGCGGCCAGGTTCGCCGGGGAGACAGTGATGGAGGCAAAGCGTGGGTGCGCAGGTGGCCGGAATGGCCACCCGTGGGTGCCCCATCCTCCCCTCCGGGCTGTTTTGCAGTCGCTGCCGGCCAAGACAGGAATGTCAGGAATGCGAAATCCCGGCAAGCTGACCTGTTGTCGTCCACCCCCCCCCCCCCCCCCGCCCCGGCTGCCCCCCGCTCCTCCGGCCCGTCGCAAGAACAGGATATTCACCCGAGCGACGAGCGACGTACACTCACACACGTCTTGTTATCAGGAAAAAACACTCAGTCAGCGTCTGGAATGGGCTCTGATTAACCGTGTGGCCACCGGGGCTTTCTCGCAGGGCCGTGGCAAAAGCGCCCGCTCGTGACGGGGTACGGACAAGCGGGCAGGAGTGGAGCGGAGCTGCCGGGGCCGCAGGCACGGCAAGGGCTGGAGGTGAGCATCGGGGTGCCGGCACAGCCCCTGCCATCGTCACCCAGTGGTCCCTCGCCCACCGTCCTCCCTCCTGGCGGAGCCACAGGGTGATCCCCTCCGGGGGTTGGGGGGGAGCATCCAGCCCCATGGCGGAGGGGGTTCGCCCCCTCCTCGCCGCAGCGAAGCCGGGACCCTCGGGCCAAGCCCCATCCCCCTGCGCCGGCCACCCTGAGTCATGTCAACACGTCCCCGCTTCCAGCACGGGCCCTGCAAAGACGTCCTGTCTCAGGTAAACAGGATCTCGCCGCACTGCGTGACCTTGTTTACCTCCCCGAAAGAATTTGGCTGGAATTTTTTTTTTTTTTTTTTTTTTTTTTTTTCTTCCTAAGGGTTGGTGAGTCACCCCGCAGAAATGCGAGCTGCCTTTCCACACTGACTCACCCCACTGCCCGCCTCTCCCCCTCACTGCCCCCCGGCCCCGGGACAGGCGAGAAGCCCCCCCACGCCCCCCCCCCCCCCCCCCCCGCTCGCCCGATGATGCAACCCACGCGGCGGGTGGCAGCGGCCGTGGCAGCGGCGGTGGCGTCTCTGCCACAGGAAACACGGCTGAGCGCTCGGGCAGCCCCCGTGCCAAAACACAGGAAGAGCGCCGAGAAATTACCCCGCGCATTGTCAACTCCAAAAACACCAAAGAAAACAAAACAAAGCAAAAAAAAAAAAAAAAAAAAAAAAAATTGGCCTCACTAGAACAATTGCCCAGAAGAAAAGAAAAGAGAAAAAAAAAAAAAAAAGAAGCCAATGGACCTGGCCCAGCGCCAGGACCCTTGTTTTCCTCTCCCAACACAATGCAAGTTAAATAATACTTCCTTCTCGCAACAAGGCCCTCCTGGGCCGGTTTTTGTTTTTCTCCTCTGCTGCGTGGGGGTCGGTCAGCGCGGACGGCTCCTGTCACGGGAGCATTGGCACTTCGGGGTTGCTGCTCGTGGGGATTCTGCTGTGGGACGCCGGTTGCCGGCACGGCGGGGGGGGGGGGGGGCGAGGGCCCTGCGGTTGGGCTGCCCACCGCCCCCCGCCCGGCTTCCCCGTGGGGAGCGGGGGGCTCTTCAGCACTTCTCCCAACTCCACCGGCGTCATCCAGGCTTAGCCGCTTTGCAGGATAATATCTCTTCAAGGTGAGCTAGGTGGCCATCGCAAGCCACCCTGGGGTAGCCATACCCAGGCTATGAAGGCATCCGTACAAGCTAATCACGGCAATCCTATCATATACGTCAATTTATTGCCAGATTAAATAAAACAGAATAATAGAACAATATACATCACGTGTGGGATGAATGGTTTCATGACATTTCTGGCCAGGCTTCCAGGCTGGGATGAGGGGAACCCCTGTTACTTGCACCTTGGCTCTTCAGTTCCCATTTGGCATGTGCTCAGCTTTCTTTTCTTCAGGATTTCTCTTCCCAATGACAGTGTCACTGGCACCCAACCGACTGTATTTAAATGTCTGCGTTGCAGAGGGATCCAAGTAAAACTGGTTTTGTTTATTTTAACTTCTTTCCTGAGAAATTTAGCATCTGACACACCACGCCTCTCGCTTGTTTGCAGAGTCAGTCAACAGTCTTCAAGGGACTGATCAGATCCATACCTCTTTGTCTCAGGATTATCAGGATTTCTGATTAAATAGCAGGTGCAAGAAAGAAAGTAGTCGCCCATTTTAAATTGAACCGTGGTCTTTGTACCCAAAATGGCATTACTTCAGCTGCACATGTGTCTCCCCGGATTTCTAATTTCTTGCAGGAGGATGCAAGCTGCTGGGCAGGACGGTCGCAGTAGTTCTCGGGTGCTGCCAGACACGGCACGTCCCTCTCACCGACGAGGCTCAGTGCTCAGTCAGAAGCACGTGCAGCCGGCCGGCCTTGCCCTGGCACGAGCAAAGAGCGCCAGACTCTGCAGCTGGGGGAGCAGATGGCAGGTCTGAGTAGGCATTTGACATACATGTCCACTGACGCCCTAAGTTGAGCAAACTCATTTGTTTCACGACTTTGGGCGCTGATGTTCCTGCGCAATCCAGAAAAGCCAGATCCAAGGTCCCACCCACCGGTATTGTCTGGGCTCAAACGTCAGGTCCTGCCGCTGGGTGATGGATTTGTGATGTGGGTGACAGCAAATGCCTTGTGGAGGTGACATATTCTTCACACTGTTCTGGTCTGTTCTCCTCCCACCCAGGAGATAAACCTGCCCCCTGCTACAGGGTGTATGCGCTCAGTCACACCAGCAGTCAGGGTAACCTCTTGACCAGTGAAAGCTGGGTTCTGAGGAAATGTTAGCCACGTCAAAGAGGTTTTGGAGATGGATTAGTGGGAGGTCATTAGGAAAGAAACCGGGGCAGAGCTGGGGTGCAACACGCAGCCCCAGAGGAGGGAGTATGTGCTATTTTAACTGGGAAAGTCCATCTCTAGCTCTATTTTCCCACCCACTTGCACCCCATTTGTGGCTTCTCTGATAACTACAACGGCAAAGTCCAGCAAGATCCCCAGAGGAGGCTGCGTGTTCGTATTTCCCCTGTGCTTGCTGTGCCCTCCACGTGTACCCAAACCCGTTCACGTGTGGTGGTAACTCTGGTCACTCGCCAGGGCGGAAAGCTCACCTTCTTGGCCAACGGTGGGATTCACCTCGCAGCAGACACCTAAATGTTGGCTCTGAAGTCTCAGCCAGCTGTCTCAGCTCCCTCCAGAGTTAGTAGAGCGAGATGGGCATGTCCAGAAAGCAACTCAATTCCCTGGCTTAATTTTTTTTTTAAGGTTGGGATGAATCATGCTGTGGCAGTGCTCAACACTCTCCTTTGTCTAGAGGAGGAGACAAGGGCTGCTAGTGTTTGACTGCTTCATCTTCAGTCAGCTCAATTTAAGGTGCTTAATTTTTAGTTGGCAAACACCAAGCACAGTGAATCCCACCTCGGGAGAACAATGTGCCAGTGTATGACAAGCAGCAGCAAGTACAGGAGCACAGCTCCTCTCTTGATTTATTTAACGACTACAGTTAGTGCTAAGATTTGATCATGGGAACTACTGCCTCAGCATAATCCAGCTTGCTCAACATACAGAGTGTGCCTCGTTCTCCAACAGTGTCATCAAGGAATATGTCCCTTGGGGATCTTGAAACATGTAGGAAAGAGTTGCTGGGGCTAGCAACTTGCTCCTGAGCGTGGGGTTTTCCCTGGATCTGGCACAGCGTTTGTTTTTATTAGCTGCCAAACCTTTGGCAATTCACCAGCTCTTGATAACACAAGTGAAAATCTGGAAGAGCCAGACCCAAACGTTTGGCCCAAATCACTGCGCATACGTGTCCTCACGCCTGGCGGGGGAAGCCAGGTTGCCCGTATTTGCCTCTATGTGCAGGTCAGCCCCCGCGAACCGGCCTCGCTGATGGAGAGCAGCGCTGCTGGCAGATCTCCCTCCCGTCGGTGAGGACTTGGTGGAAACCATTTTATCCAGCAAAACGTTTGCTGCTTGACCTCCTTTGCTAAGGGAGCAGGTGCTCGACTTTGTTTGGCTAGCTGATTAAACAAATCCCAGCAATTCCTGCCAAACCAGGTGAAGTCAAGCCTTTTCAGCTGCCTCGTCCCTACGATCTCATCGAGCAGCATTCGGCATCTCAGTTACGGCCGAATATCCAGCTCTGTGGCAGAGAGTGTCGTTCTGCCCCCAGACCTAGTGGCAACCACAGGTTCAGCTTTTAAATGGCTCTCGGAAACACCGCAAAAACGAGGATGAAGAAAGGGGGAATATTCACATCAGGATAGTCCAAGTTGTCTCAATATTGGTGTGAACATGATCTTCAAATCATTTTTAATGGTTTTCAGGACTCGAGCTTAGAGGCCTCTGTGGATAAGTGGTGGGCTTGGCTGGTTGTTGGGCACCTCACGTGTGAGCCTGTTGAAAGCTGTACCAGTGCCATGCCAACTCACCAGGCTGAGGTATGTTGAAAGTGACTGTCAGAGCAATCACTTCCCATAGCAACCTGCCACAGGGAATATGTGCTATTTTAACTGGGAAAGTCCATCTCTAGCTCTATTTTCCCACCCACTTGCACCCCATTTGTGGCTTCTCTGCTAACTACAACGGCAAAGTCCAGCAAGATCCCATGTTGGTTATGGAGGCAGGTACACATCTGGGATGTGTGATGGAAACCCTCCAAGCTGATCTGTATCACAGAAAGTGGGAAGCAATAGTGGTGACATCAGCCATGGCTGAGTGATGAAAAGTCATGTGAACATTTTTAAAAGGAGATGTAAGACACCACCCCACTTATTCGGTATCTCCCAGCTCTCTCCTCACCAGTATAAACCTCCTGCAGGTGATGCCGACCCTACATTGAATGAATGATTGCTGGTTCAACGATCCACCAATGCATGACCCACCTCTGCTCTCACCTTCTGTGAACAGAGGTCTTACTGGAGATACACTTTTATGTTCCTCCTGCAATATTCAGCCTTACTTAGTGTTTCCATCACTGTTTCTTTTGTACATCCCCCTTTAACAAACTACCCACTCCCAAAACCACCAGCTGTGGTCATGCAGAGCTGCAGCAGGCTGCTTTGGGATGAAGTACATCCATAGTGACAGCTTTACAGTGGCACCTATAACATTCATTGTCTATTTCTCCTCATGTTTAAATTATTTACATGTTTATCCTACAAAATAGTTCCATTGATTGGCAACTTTCTTCGCATGAACTTCTAGGTGTTAGGATGACTGGTGACTCTACAAAGTCCTACATCTTCTAAGGGGGGTTCAATTGTCCCATTTGACCAAATTGTAAGAGGAACCATCTTTCTGTCAGGTTTTGCAAGCAGACAGTGCCGTACCTGTCAATCAGGCTGAATGAACAGATTTCTTCAGCAACAAATCTAACTACGCTGCAATTTCAGGCCTTTCCTAAGAAAACTTTCTGAAATGCAGTCTAAGGCTGTATAATTTCAGATGGGAAGCATAACTGCCTACTAAGAAAAACGGGAACATATGCTCCATTTTAAGCCCATTACAGAAAGGAATTACTTAGAGTCACGCGGACTGCAACGCTAATATCATCCTCTAGATAGTAACTGCTTCTTCTAGTGCTGCTCAGCAATGTGCAGAAATAGAAGTGGACAGAAATCTACCCAGACAAAAGCCACGATTTTTTTTTCTGATGTCATTCAGACGACCAGACATGGCTCTTGAGCTGCGAACATCCCGTTGGCCTGACCGTGTCTCGGCGCTCCCTCCTTGCCCCCGTTCTACCAGACACCTGCAGTTTTCTTTGAAGCGGGGACATGGCAAGCGTTTCCCAGAGACATGTCAGGACGCAGAGGGAAAAGCAGAGAGATGGATTCTATCTGTCAACTCGCGATGAAATACAGTAACACCCCTCCCGCCCCCAGCCCCAAAAGAAAGCTTAATTTTTTCTAGTTGAAAAAAGTGTTTGGCTCAATCCCCAGACCAGCTGCTTCCTACATAAATAAGAGGCATGCACGGTGTACAGAAAAGAATATTTGACATTCCTAATCAATTAGATAAGGGGAAAAAACAGTACATTTTCCTGTTCAAAATAAAATTATCGTGGTTACTTCAGATTTCAAGGGCATTTATCTTTCAGCTTCTGACAGAGGGGCACTGAGTAGGCTGCAGGTTATTGACCTGGGGCTGGAGAATGACTAAGCTGCCAGATGGGATGGAGGAGCCCAGGCCCAGCTCCAGTGGGGTGCTGGGACAGGAATAACCAGGGCAGCTGCCAGCCAAGTCAGGTGTGCCTTGGTAAAGCTGGGCTCTTGTGAGGACTGTGCCAGGCCAGGAATAACTGGCAGGGAGGGGAGGAGGGCATTAAAACACCTCAAACCAAATTGTTCAAGGGAAATACTCCTGGATCTTGCCTGCACGCTCCCTGGCTTTGAAAACTTGTATAAACGTTTAACCAAGGAAATGTCAAGGAAATCAAGGTGAGGACGAAGGTGGCTGCAAGGGCTGTAAGAGGACACAGGCACCTTCCCTACCCCGGTTCAGCTCAGGGCATTTCAATGGAAGAGGCGCAGCCTGAGATGTGTTGGGTAACTTCTACTCAAATGCACGGGAGTCTCCGGGCCCCGGGGCAGGTACCAGCCATCGCTGCCGGCCCCCGCAGCAGAGGCAGGAGGCACGGGGGCAGTGGCACGGTGCCCTCTCCTCCAAGAGCAAGTGTCTCTGGATCGTCAGCAGCCTTTGAGGCCTCTCCGCCGGCAAAGGATGAGATTTTTGAGAGGACCAGCCCTGTTGTCTCCTGGTTCAGGGGGAAGTGGCAGCCCCATAGCGCTGCCCTTTGCACTGCCCTGGCCGGGCGGGTGGACTGCAGGTCCTCTGCACGGGTTTTACCCCAAGCAGCTCCAGGCCCCCCCTGTGCAGTTCCTGGAGACTTCAGGCCAGGGCTGCTTTATCGGAAGTCTTGATTGCTGCTGTTTTGCTTTTGCAATACCACTTCTGTGTTCTTCCAGGATTTGTCAGGACAGCATGTTTCCCCAGGGAAAAAAAAAAAAAAAAATATGCAAATGGGGCAAAGAAGCGTCTGAGCCTACAAAGCCCCACTCAGGCCCAGAGGAGCCCTCTGGAGACTGAGTTCACCTGTGAAATCCTGGGCCTGCAGTGCCACCTAATGAACAAGCGCCATTCAGAGCCTGCACACACGCTGCTGTGTGCAGGGAAATCAGGCAAGGGTGGTTGCGAAGGCTTCCTTAGGGCACTTTGTTCCACTCTGAAGCCCTTCACCCCTCTCCCCGTGCTTCAGAAATTACTTTCATCGTTGTAACCCAGCCACTAGGCAGTAGATAATACTAATTCTGTTCTGTGGACAAGTCTCAGAGCAGCTTTTTGCCAAGTCCAAATGCACAAGACAAGTCAACAGTAGTTGAGTAACAAATTAGAGTAACTCCCTTCTCTGCATCATTTCAGGAAATACTGCTTCCAAGAGACAGGGCAGAGAGGCAACACAGTGCAGAGTGTTGCCCCCTCCTCCTGGGACTCACCAGCTTGTTCCCTGCGCACCACCAGGACCCTCCTGAGTGACAAGCCACGAACTCCCATCTTTTAGGAGGCAGAAGTTGGGCTCCATTTGCTTGGCAAAGACAGTGGTCAGGCACGAAGATCAGGAATGTCTCTAAAGGGCCTAAAGGACATTCCCTGGGGAAGAAATGAGCTGGTGCTTGTTTTTTACATAGGAAATCATCGACAAGAAGGAGAATGTATGCTCCACACAAATCACAAGCTTGGTGCTGGTGGCAGTGACTGCCTTCTCAGACCCAGACAGCGAGACACAGAGGTGCTGAGGTGCTTTCCAGGACTTCACTAAGGTTTTTGGCCTCTGACTGATATAAGGAGGCACCCCCGAAGGGCAAACCATCACCCCGGACAAAGAGCTGCCTAAAGGCAGAAGACGTGTGAGAGCTCAATCCCTCCCTGGAGTTTAGGAGTTATGGCTGTGCATTCCTCCGCCTCCCTTCAGCTTTTCTGTCATGATGTCAGGTGAGGCACTCACTAGGACAGAGACCTCTCAGAAAGGTGCTGCCGTCGCAGAGTCCGGCATGCATGTAAATGGTAGCTGTGTGGTCAGAGCCCTCTCCCAGAAAGTGAGATGTCTAAGCTAAGTGTTCTCCTCAGACTGGAAGGACTGTAACGTGCTCCTTCCACCAGCCCAGTCTGCTCTACTCCATCTGGCCTGGCACGGCAGGGCTTGATTTAGTATGGTATGTCTGTAATAGGGATGAAGAACCTCTCCTAGCTTCTGCATCCCAAGGGTATAACCCAAACGTGTCCTGCCTTGAAGGCTGGTTGCCTGTTTCTGGCACCAAAGCAGGAGATCTGAACACAAATGCCAATCACATCATGGTTTGCACAGATGCTGAACCCTCAGCTAAGTGTGAAAGGCTCGCTGGGCCCACACCTGGTTTTTAAGTCTTTCAAAATTCTCAGGGGGCTTCAGACATGGAGAAGGTGAGCACTGCAACTCTGTCCCCTTCACAGTAGAAGGAACGGGGGACATGCACAGTCCCACATGCAAATAGCCCTCTGTGAAAGGAAACATTTTTAGGGCTGGGTGATCTACAGGCAGGAGGTGCCGCGAGAGGATCATACATAAGAGTGGGAGTCTTTGGAAATTTTAAGCAATGAACAGCTGAAGAAATTTCTATAGAGCATGTGGGAGCCAAGGCTTTTCAAAGACATATCATATGTCCACAGATGGGCTGGCTTTCACTAAAACAACAAAACTTAAATTAATTGAAACAACAAGACACAATTGCATTGAAACCACATATTAAAAACAAAAACAAAAAAACCCACAAAAACACTTAAGACCCCCAACACACCCGCACTTCAAGTATAGGATTCAGAGCACTGAAAATCCTACTACAGCTTCCCATTGAGGAATTTATCTGAACTGTGTACTTGGTGTTCCAAACCAGCATACATCACTCTTGCTGTGACACAGAAGTACTCAGTGGTCCAAGTGGCCCAGAGAAAAGGAAGACTGTTCTCTAGCTAAGTGCTTATATTGAAAAGCAGAGATTGGTGTTTCAGCTCCTTCACTAGGACCCGTTTAGGTATTTCGCATGAGTCGGGCACTGTGTAACAGGTACCCACAGCCAGGGATCGGGATCGGGACACAGATCTTCTCTTGCCCAGGAAAATGACCACGAAGGTGAGATGTGTCACACCTGTTCCCTGGCCCAGTGAACTCTGAATTTGTCTTGCACTGGGACAACTTCGGTGGGTGAATGTGTGCTCCCCTTGCCCCTGAGATAAAATAATCTGGTGTTTGGGGCAGTCTCCCAGAAGATGGGTATTCACGGCCCTGAAGAACAGAGGAGGGACTGGACCTTGATCGCTAGCACTGCTGGGTGTGTGCTATAACTGTTGAGCTATAGTTTAACAGGCAAGAAAACAACAAGTCCTCTTCCAGCGGAATTTTCGAAGAAAGATGGTAGCTGCTACTTTCTGCACTGATCTTCTTCTAGGAAGATTGAGAAGAAACACCTACCTGGTGGTTCGCAATTGCACCTGGGTGTGAGCCAATGTGCAGAGGAAAACTGAGCTCCTCACCAAGTTGAGGTGACACAAAGGGACAAAGTGCCAGCTGTGTGGTGTTTAGAAGATCACAGTCTGGGATAAAAAGGGGCTAAAAGGGGAAGTGAAATGACATTGAAGCCACAGGAGGTATTTTTCTTCATGGTAGGCCCCACCCAGAGCTCTCAGAAGGACCTAAGGTTGGGCCAGGTGATCTTTTTTCCATCTCCTAGGACTAACTCCTTCGGCCAAGGCCAGGAGACTTGTATGTTTGTTTTCCTTGTGTGTGTTGTGTAATCCCTGGAGGCAGAGCACTACTTTGCACTGGGGCTGTGGTTTGCGGGCCATCCAGCTGCTGTCGGGAAATCCCTGTGCTGGGGGAGGATCAGAGCCAGGTGAGGAACGTGCAGCAAAAATGCGACTTTAAACACATTGTTCCCTGGCTGCTGTCACAAAGGCTCCGGGTAAACCAGGGGGCAGCTGCATTCTGTGCATGGGTTTTAAGAAACTACCATTAGAAACTACTGACCTGACGCAGGCATGCCAACAGGGTGATTTTTCGGATGCCTTTGGGCTTAACTGCACCGATACCCTGTGCACCCTGCCTGTGCCTCAACCCACTCCACTTGCTGAGCCCGCTCAGGGCTCCGAGTGGGCTGCTCTCGTGGGCCAGAGCAGCACTGACCGTGCCCCTTCGCCGTTCTTCATTTCTGTGATGTGTTACGAGGCTGCACACCGAGACCGTGACCTGCCTATAAAATGGACCGGCGCTCGCAGAGCAGCATGATGAGTGCCACCTACTGATAATTAAACGTATAGCAAGAGAGGCCGGTTTACTCACGGAGTCGGGGAATGGACACCGCAAACGGCATCGGCAGCACAGCTCTTCATGGCTGCCAGCTCCCGTGGCACTACGGAGCGGTGGCAGCACCGTGCTCGCAGGCTGCCGAGGCTTAGCTCCTGCTGCAAGGTCACCTCTTGAAGCTTCATCAAGCAGCGTTTCTTCAGGGATGTGTTGGGCTGTTTTGAAACTATGCTGATCTTTGCTGCAGTCTCCTGGAGGGAAAAAAAAAAAAAAAAAAAAAAAGTCTTTCACCGAATTAGGCTTTGTAGAATATAAATGACCATTAATAATTTTTCAGTGTTAATGTAAGTACTTGTAGCAACTGGAAACTGAAACACGTAATCAGGATACTAGCAATTAAAATGGTAATTTTTCTGTACTAGATTCTGCTTGCAATTTTTACTCAAGTAAAACTCTTTGAAGTTAATTGGAATTTTGATTAAAGGCTCCTGGATCTGGGTCTCTGAATTTGTGCTAAGGAAGGTTCAACATTTACTTTGGTTTCCTGCACACTGAGTTCACTGCTATATATTAGTGTGATTGTACAATTAGTTGTAACAAGAACAACTCCAATAAAACATTTCTGTAATCTTGTTCTTGATATACTTTAGAAAAGGTCCTTTATCACATAAGGGCATTTAAAGTACTGCTAAAACAGGCTGTAAGATCTGAAAAACTTGATTGCTTAAATTGTTTGTCTTAATTATTTCCAGTCCCTATAAATGGGTTAGTAATATCCACTTAATGATAATTCAGAGCTTGGGATAGAGCAGGAGGAAGGGAGACGTTCTTGCTCTTCATCTTTAGGGTTCAGTTTTGGTTGTTTGTGCAAAAAAAAAAAACAAAACAAAAAAACCCAAACCACAAAAACAACAACAAAAAAACACAAAACAAAACAAACAAAAAACCCACCAAAAACAAACAAACAAACAAAAAAACCCAAAACCCCAAACACGCTACTGAAATTACATTAGTAGAATGAAAAGTAACTATGGCGTAATAGCTTTTAAAAGTAACATTTTTACCCAGTGTTGCAAAAAACTCCCCCTTCGCCCCCCCCTCCCTGCCCCTCAGATTATCGTGAGACACTTAGTAGCATTTTCTAAAAAGTGAACTGAGGCGCAAGCGGTGTGTTGTGGCACTGGGGGCACGGGAAGAGCCAGGGGAGCACTGTCGCTGTGGCAGCCCTGACCCACACAGGTTCCACTGCAGCCAGGACAACCGCAGGGGAGAATAAAGCCCCCCTGCAGGAAGGAGGACTTGCACGGGAAAATCCCCCAGCGAACAAGGAATACATATTTTTGTTATGCCACTGGATTTGCCTGAAAATTTGCTGCATGCTGATGTCATCTTGTGGACAAATTTCATCCCTCATCCTTCCAGGCAAAGGAGTGGGTTTTCAAGAGCAGTGACGTAAGTGATGCACATATTGCTTAAATTTCACTTGGGTCAGTTGCTGGTGTGGGAAAAGCAGAAAGAAAGAAGGGAATGACCATGCAGAAATTATACTGATGATATCAAGCATGTGGTTTCTTGTTGTATACTTCAAGCATTATAGCTTTCAATCAAAATGCAGTTTGATTTGTTTTGAGAACTCCTTTAATATTCATGAGCAAAGTTTCTTTAATTTTGAAATATATATTCTTGACCTTAAAAAGACACATATGAAATAACAAGATGTAAATATCCTATACTAAGAAGTGCAATGGTTTATCAATAATGGATTCATCTGCAAGTTTATTGTGACTGTGGGATTTATTTCCTTCTTTTATTTTATCCTAAGGTGGTCATTGGAGCACAGTTTCTTCCATTTTCCAGTTTGGCACCACAGCACTTGGATTCAATTGCAAAAAAAAAGGGATTACGAATAGGTTGTCGCAATTCAGAGAAATGTTCTGATCTTTTGTCTCTTTCTGAAGGTCTTTATTTTGAGAAACAAAATAAATTTTATCTCAAATATTTTTCTCTATTCCCTCTAAACCATAGAAGCATAATATGAGAATGAAAGGATTAAAAATAAGATCAATGCATTATTATTATTATTATTATTATTTTGCAATACTGCTAGAGAACCAAAACTATGCTATAATCTGCTAGGTCTGCTTAATGGTTAGCCCAACGGTCACAACTCTCGACAGTGAACTTTAGTTCTTCAGTGGCTGCAGCAAGAATAAGCACCGACAGTTACTGCATCCACCGGTCTGGATTGGATATGTTGTGTGAAAATGAACGCTTTCAAACTAAATGACTAACATTAACTTGCTCTCATGGTAGACTTCATTCTGTATAACATTTGCCATTTGTACACTAAGGTTCATCCCGTCTAACTTTGCATACAGTGTGCAGTCACAGTGGAGGAGCAATTGAGCACACTTGTGGGAGGAAAGGTAGCTACACATGTAGAAATAAGTTCCTTCTCTGGTGAAAAAATGTCCTAGGAGACTTTAAAAAAATAATCTGTCGTTTAACGCAGTGGTTGGGAAGCAAAAGCACATTTCAGCATACCAGATCAGTGCGCAAAGGAGCCTGCACACCTCCGTGCTGAACGCCTGCTCACGACGTTCCCGTTTTCTCGTGCCTTACCCAAGAAAGCCATGGCCACCTTGAAGAGGTGGCCTTTGGTCCTGCCTGCTTCGAGATGTCAAATACCTCACGTGTGCGCCCTGTCCATAAAAACCCCTCAGCGCTTCACGATGAGGCACTTGAAGCGGGTGCCTGGACAGACGAGCCACGCCGGATTTCTCCTGCACCGCTCCGTGCCGCCTGCCTCTCCTGCCTCAACACTTTGTCACCCGGTGTCCTCCCACCCGCCGCCACCGACGACACGCGACCGCTGAGGGCCATTCCTGTGGGAAACACTCGTAGGTGCCACCGCTCTGCGGCGGCGAGGGACTGTGCCGGCGGCGGGCAGAGGCTTCCTCACGGCGCTCCCCCCCCCCCCCCCCCCCCCCCCGCAAGCGCCGGGCTGTTGGTAACAGACGGCCCTTTCTTTCCGTGAGGAAAGCGGGGTGCCAGCGGGAAGAGGGGGGAGCGGAGGGGAGGCCGGGTGCCGGCGGCGGGGAGCGGGGGCTGAAGCGGGGGCGGCGGGAGCGGCCCCTCAGGCGGTTCCCGCCCAAGCCGCGCCACGCGCCGCCTCCTCCTCCTTTCCCCCCCCCTCCCTCCTCCGGCTTCGCGCGCGCGCCGGGGAAAACGTTGCGCAGGTTCTAAAGCGGGGCGGGGGGAGGGGAGGGGGCGCGGCCGCGCGCGAGGGGGCGTGTGAGGGGGAGCGGCGGGTAACGGCCGCCAGCGGGCAACGGCCGCCGCCGCCGCCGCCGCCGCCGGGCCAGCTCCGCCACCGCCACCGCCACCGCCGCGGGAGGCAGCCCCGCCCGCCCGCCCTCCGCCTTGCGACAGCCGGCTCCCCCCGGCCGCGGGGCCGCCGGTTGGCCGGCGCTCAGCGCCGCTGTCCCGGCCGCTGCATGGAGCTGTCGGCCATCGGGGAGCAGGTGTTCGCGGTGGAGAGCATCCGCAAGAAGCGCGTGCGGAAGGTGGGCTGCGGCGGGGCGGGCCGGGCCGGGCCGGGCCCCGACCGGGCGGGGGGAGGGACGGACACCGGGGGAGCGGTGGGGGGGGACACGACACCACCCCCGCCCCACCCCCCTCGCGCCCCTCCTGCCTCGCAAAAGCGCGGGGGGCGTGGTGGGTGCGCGCGTGGACGCCCTGCCTCCCCCCCACACACACACTTCCCTCCTCCCCCCCTTTCCCCCCCCCCCCCCCCCCCACTCCACGCGCGGAGTAACGGGCAGCCTCGCGCTGCCGGCGGGGCGGGGGCGGTGCCGACACCAGTACCGGTACCTGCCGGGGGGGCCGGCGGGCGAGGGACACGCGTGTTGGCGGGAGTTGCTCGTGAGGTGGGTGGGGTTCTGAGGCAGCCTGGGAAAGGTGAAGGGAGCGGGGGGGGGGGGGGGGGGGGGTCGTCATTGTTGTGGGGGGTTTCAGTTTCTGCTAAATCAGCGCTGGCGACACCAAAGCGGACAGCCCGAATCGAGGGAGGGCTGGGAAGGATTTGGCGGCCAGCTTAGTGACTCGGTTTCCCCGGCGGTGTTACGAGGACTAACCCATACGCACGCAGCGTCTGGAGATCCTCTGGTGGAAAGTTCCTTATAGGGCAGTGTTGACAAACAGTGGGAAGGTGATGAGCCCCCCGTGGGGAAAATGAAACCCGTTCTCTGGCTCGAGTACCCTAGTGCTTTGCTTGGCATGCTGTCGTGTGAAGGTGCCTGCAGCTGCAGTCGTGGCACTTCAAGGGGTGGACATCCTGCATGTACCAAGGCCTCTGCCATGCTTTGGGAAGTGCTTAACAAGCCCCTCAGTATAATATTAAGGTTTTTAATAGTTGTGCATGTTGCTTATGGAGCCCCTGAACACGGTTTCCGATCACTGTACTTTTCCTTTTTGCTTTTTAAATCTTGTACTTAGAGTGAACAAATAAACAGATAACTCTGAACTTCAACTGTGAGCTGCTGTTTGCTTGGGTCAAAAGGTTGAGTGACTGTGGTGGATGGAAGAGTGTTTGAATAAAGCGTGTAGCAACTGGGAGAGAATGTGCCAAAGAGATGCTTCATAGGTTCTGAAATACTGTATTTCTTCCCTTTGCTTGAAAAAAAATTCCTCTGACACTTGCTCCTGGCATACATCTCCCTCTCGCATTTAGACATGATGACTTCTTGTAGGGTTGCCTGTAAATGCAGGAATGGTTGCAGTCTTGCTCTCTAGTTGGGTTTGGGGGTTCTGCCTGCAAGGCTTCTGCAAAGGTATGATCCCAAGCTGATGACAGTTCAGGCACACCTAAATACCCCCGTGTGCCCATTTTCTGGTGAAAAAAAGGTATACCAAGTGTGGCTGAATGAGGAAGTGGCTTTGTTTTGAAAATAAAGTGATGGGAAATGAGCTTTTCAGTTGCAGAGTTTAGTCCTGTTGGTTGGTTGCACCTCTTACTGTAGCCCTGATTTGGCTGTGGAGTTCACCTGGGCTTTTATTCTTTTTTCTGCCTTTAGGGTAAAGTAGAATACCTGGTGAAGTGGAAAGGATGGCCCCCAAAGTAAGTTGTGTTTTACTTGTCTTTTTCTTTAATATTCAGTAGTAGTTTACACTGCATCTCTGCAATTGAGCATCTCATTCTTGATGGGTAACTTGTGCCTCATTCCAACAACGATAAACAAAAAGCCACAAACCAAAGCCAAATCTTATTTCCAGACTCGCAGCTGAGGGACACAAACTGTGTGCCAGTCTATTCTGACTGTTTTTTGCCACCACTGAAATATTCCATTGAGTGCTTTCTAGATACCATTGTTTTAAAATCTGAGTTCAACAGGGAACCCTGATTCTTCTGAACTTGGAATGGCTCCTGCTTTTCTGACTCAGCATCAAGAGGACCCCACTTTATTTTTAGAGCTATATGCAATCTTTTAAGATAGAAAACAAGTTGATGGTCATGGCTTGTTGTCCTACTGCTTGCCCTCTGCAATTCACAAATGAAAAGGGACAATGTTTCAGATTTATTGATTGTAGCCAAATGCAGGTGATCTTTGTCCCTTAAAAATTACAGCCATGCCTTCATTTCCATATCCTGAAACCTTCTGTTAATTTGAGCTCCTTTTCTGCTTTTGTTTTGGTTACTATGTTGCAAAAAGGAAAAAAAAAAAAATCTTTTTGCAGCATTGCTGTGCACTGTTTACAGATACTTCCCATTAAAATGCACCTGCCTGTGAAGAAGAGTGATTGCTCTGTGCCTACATAGCCTGTTAAATGCTTTGAGATTAAAAGGATTAGGTAACTGGAGAATATTACTATGTTAGCTCACGGTCTAGTAGAACAGCCTCTTGGCCAACCCGTATGGGGCCCAGTCTTTGCTTTTCTGTTTGTAACTCTGTGTGTGTACATACACAATGTGTGTGGGTACAACTACATTACACATGCGGTTGCATTGCATGTTGCTAAGCAAAGGGGGCTGCTTTTATAGGTTCATCCTTGCAGTTGCAAAGCGGGGCCCGCTAGGACAGTCCTGGTGTCCAAGAAGTTGAAACATGTTCCTGTGTGCCTAATCTTTGTGCCTGTGGGGCATGTGTGAATATAAGCAGCTTCCCCTCTCTGGTGGTGGTGAGGGGAAAGGGTGACTTTGCTCTTGACTGTAAGTTGAGCTGCCAAACTATGACCTTGTGCACTTGTTGAGCACTAGTTTCCATATAGTGTGGGTCAGTTCTTGGACTGCTTCAGGCTTCTAACTAGCCAAGCCTAATTTAATCACTGCTAGAGGTTGGGAAATGTATTTGTAGTCTGTGAGGCACCATCCCCTTTTGGCCAGAATACTGATGTTTATCCCATTCTCTTTTCAACAAATGCATTGAGGTCCTTCTCTTGTGAAGTCACTTGCCAAGAAGGTGGGCTGAGGCATGGCATAATGTTTCCTTGGACAGAGCAGCCCTTATTCTTATTGCTGCCTTTTCTTGCCCTGTGCCTTGGAACTCTCAGGGATCCAGAACCTCTCTTTTGGGAATTAAAAACACAGACTTCTGCTCCAGGAGCAAGGGGGATATCTGGGTTCCCTTCTTTTGATGCTGTGACATGTCCAAACACCTTCCCTCTTCCTGCAAAATTCCAATCTGAAGAACACTGATTTTTTTTTTTTTTTTTCCTTCTGCCCCCCACCCCCCCATTTTAACTGTTCACTCAGTAGTCTGAGTTGCTTAAAATTAAGGTGCTTTGAGCGTTTAAGTCACTTTCATCCTACTAGCAGTCTCTGTTCCTTGTTTCTAAACATACATATGCCTGTGATGGCATGCAACTCCACAAGCTGTTTGCATCTTTGTCTTCCAACATATTCCATTTCCTCATCCCACGTCGTGTTTCTCTTCATTCTCCTCCCCTACCTTGTTACATTGCTCTTTGTAGTCTCTGCACCAGTTATCCTGTCGTTCCCATTGGAGGCTTCATGGAAGGGAATAAGGATAGGTCAGTAGTTTGCTGCTTTCCCACGTAATTGGTATTTCACTTTTTTTTTTTTTTTTCTTTTTAATAAAAAATGCTTGTTAATGCCTTGCATCTCAGATTTTTGGATTGTACTGCTGGAGTCAGGGAATGGAGGAGTTACAATCTGATTCTAGCTACAAGCTTGTTTACAACTTGCGTTGGAGTTAAGAGGGGAGGGGGAAGAGGAGGAGTAGAAGGAGGGGGAAGGAAGATCATATGATCTATGTTTTCTAGAGTGCTTGCTCTCTGCAATTCTGCTGCAGCCTGAGCTGCGTGTACCCGTATATATAGCTCTGTGTGTGTGTGTGTGCATGCGCACGCGTGGCAAACCGAACCATGTTTTTTTTTTATATGCAGTGTTTTGCCACTGCAGCGAAGCCAGAAACTGAGCTGCAGAGAAAAAGGCAACACCCACCAGTTTTTTTTTTTTTAAAAAAGCAAATCGCCTTTCTCCTCCTGCCCATGAAAAGCAATCCAATGTCTTTTTTTTGCCCCTTGTGTTATTATTTTTCTTAAATTTGTAGAATGAGTGCCAGAATCCCCGCAGCTGGGAGGAAACCTTCCTCTGTTCAAACAGCATCTTGGCTTTGACAGCTCACAATCAGGTTGCTGCAGGAGGCTTGATCAAAGGAGGGAGGGAGGGACCAGCTTGTTATGAAGACATATCTGTTCTTAACTCTCTGATGTACAGTGCACTTTGGGAGATCTTAATTTCATTTTTTTGTTTCTCTCTTTTTGTAAAATAATTGTACTTTCATTTATAGACCCATTTCTCCTATATTGCGGTACCTTTCTGTCTAATGGAGACATGAAAGGGAAAACCATTCCCAAATCACTTCCCCTGTTTACATACATTCATATATCATGTGTCCTCACGTGCAGCCTGTGCTTCATCCAGAAATGTAAACATCCAAAAATTCTTTCCCACCATTTAAAGGCACTGATACAAATGCACCCTTGCCCACCTGCATGTGGCTCCTCTCTGGCCCTCCTCCTCAGCGGCTGGGAGGGGTTCCACCTCCAGGCCCTGGACCTCCCATTCCAGGAAAATGAATGTTCTGAGGCATTAGGGTTTCAGACTTGCTTTCTTGCCTTTGAATTTGTAGGGCAGAGACATGCCACCCACATTTTCTGGGCAAACATGACCCCCTTAGAGGCAAATATGACACGATGACCACCTTGTGATCCTTTCACCTTCCACAATGGGGTTTTCTGGCTGCTTCTCCCTGGTATTAAGTGCAGCTGTGCCCTTTGGGAACCGGTTTTGGTGTTGCCTGCTGAGTGGGTTCAGTTCTTTCCTGTTCATCTGACTCCTGTCACAGTTATCTGGCAATCGAGGGGGAAGATGGGGCAGTGAGCGACACTTCACCAGCTACTTTCAGAGCATCAAGCTTATTTTGAGTAGTTTTGGTAATCCTGACCAAAATGCAGATGGGTTCCTCCTGCGCAAGTACAGAAATACTGATGACCTCTGCTAGATAGAAATAACCTGCAGGGGGAGTCGTGCAAGAGGAGGAATAGTTGGAAAGTCGCCATCAACTTGCCTCGGGGCCCAGGTCTAACCATGTTTAGTTGAATGGCATCGGTGGAGAAAAATTAAACTCTTCTTAAATGAATACTTTCAGCTCCAGTGATTAGAGGTAATTAATAATGCAGGTGAGAAAGCGTACTTACTCTTTGAGCACTCTAAATTAAGAGAGACCTATTTTTCAGAAAGTGGTATCGGATCACGTCTCGTTGTTTCACGGGGTTTGTTGGATTTGAGGGAGTGCTGCAGATGAGACCTGTTTCGGCACTGACTTAAAATCAATTTGCAAGTGTCTGCACACGCTTTGCAAACAGCGTGAAGGGGGCCCTGGGGAGGAAAGTCTTCCCTGTTCTCCTACAAAGAGCTGCTTGACGCTTGGCCCTGCCTGTTTTGGGAAGGGGAGGTGGTGTCTGCGGGAAATTGGGGAGGGAATGGCTGGGATTCCTCAGAGCTCTCGCAATGTTGTGGCAGGCCCCACCGACTCTTGTGAAGACAGTATCCAGGGCCACAGCACACTGGTAGCAGGCCTGCAGAGAGAATGTTTCATTAAAGTATTGTTTACTTTATATTCCTTGTGTTTTTCTTCAGATACAGCACATGGGAGCCAGAGGATCATATCTTGGACCCTCGCCTGGTAGTGGCTTATGAAGAAAAGTAAGGGCGCATGTTCTTTCTCTGCCTGGACACAGGAAAAGGAAATAGTGTCTTTATTTCATAGTGTGCGTAAAGTGCCCCTGTTGTCCCTACTTCAATCAAAGATGAGGTGTACAGCAATGAATCCTGCTTGATCTCTGTACCCTGGTGTTGTTTAACCCTGACAAGACAGGGTTAAAGCATCTTTGATTGGCACTGTTCAGGAAATGAGGCCAAGAGCAAGCAGCAAAGAGCAATCAGTCTCAGGTTTTAATCAGGTCCAGGGCTGGACTGGAGTCATGTGACGTGATAAGTTTCTATAACCCATCCTTGATCAGCTAAGTCAGAGAAATGCCCTTATTGCAAGACTTTCACTCCTACAAGAAGCAATTCTGGGATATTTTCTAAGCCCACACTGGTCACCATTGGGTTTTAATGAAGGAAATGAGAGAGCTGTGCTGTGAAAGGTAGAAGTCCTGACTAGACTTTGTGCTGTGCTATCTAGTACTCGGTTTGATTTGTGTTTCTCTCTCACAGGGAAGAGAGAGACCGTGCATCGGGGTACAGGAAAAGAGGCCCCAAACCGAAGCGCCTCCTCCTGCAGGTAGACTCTTGCTCTTCTGTGTATTTCTAACTCACTAGCTGCTGTGCTGCTCCTCTGCTCACAGGGAGGTGGAAACTGTCCGTTTGCTGTTGCATGGACAAAATTAGGGGTAACAGGGTAACACAACAACATGAAATCAGTGGGTAGGCAGATACTTTTAACCTGTTAGCTGAAGAGCCAGCTAACTTGTCTTTAAAAAAGCAAAACAAAACAAAAACCCACAAACGAACAACAGCTCTTGCTCTCTGAACTAGGATTTTATAAACTTTGGGCTTGGGTGATTGCAGGTTACCTGGTTTGCGTGCTCTCTTAATTTCATGTTGGGCTTGGACTTTCCATCATGTTAAAGGTAGCCACTGTTTGGAAGTGGAGTTCCAGCACACTTTGACTGTTGCCAAGCCAAGCAGCCAATCCTAGAAAGCACATATTAGGAAGAGCTTAGATGGCAGTTGAAGAGGTCAGAAAAACAGTGTTGTAGAAGAAGCACGACTTATCCTAGCTCATCTAGATGTTCGGGGACTGAACAAAGAATAGTTTCCTGACTCTCAGGTGGGAGCCCTGACTATACCATCAGATTTCCACTCTGACCCTTGCTGCGTTGATGTCTTGGCAGCGACTGTATGGCATGGACTTGAGGAGTGCCCACAAGGGAAAGGAGAAGCTCTGTTTCTCTCTTGCGCGGAGGTTTGGAGGAGGAGACAGTAGCCTGCCAGGGGCCAAGCCAGGGCAGGCAGAGTTCTCAGAGAAGACTGGGGGAGCGGTCCTGCCATTCTCTCTCCGGAAGCAACGCAAAAACCAGAAGTACCTGCGACTGTCAAGGAAGAAGTTCCCCCGCATGGCGAGCCTGGAGAGCCGAAACTGCAGGCATGAGTTCTTCCTGAATGACGCAGTGGGCCTAGAGGCCAGACAGGGCCCTGAGGACTGGGAGGCCATGCAGCACACCAGCAAAGAAGGTAAGACCAGACACCCCTTGGCTGTGAAGTTCTGCGGCATGCAAAGGATGCTCTGCATGCTTCCTCCTTGCTTGCCTCATCCTGGGATTGTAGTTTAGGTCAGGTCGTCAGAGCAGTGCTAGCTGGCTCACACTGTGGCCCCCTTGTCTGCAAGTTCCTTCCTTGTTTGGACGAATAGCACAGATGACTCTGCTTTTTTGGTGCTGTTGCCTCTCAGTAGTCTTGTATCAGTGACAACTCTCCCAGTATTAGAAAGCATGCAGAAGATACTGCAAGTTACTCCCCTTTTACAGTTTCCTCCCAGCAGAGGTGGCATGCAGGTGCAATAGTGATGAACCTTGCCTCTGTCCACATATCCACAGGTGTTCAGCCTGCTCCTCTGCTAAAGGAGCTTGGCTGGCAGTGGACAAGCTTGGACACCAGCACTCCTCTCATAGCGCTGCTCTGAGGAGCATATAGCAATGCTGCTAGGAACCCATTGTACATTCCTCTGCCCCCTCCTTCCCTTTCCTCTCCACACACCACGTCCTCCAAAGTCTGTTGCTGTAGAGCTATGTGAGAGAGGGATGAGAGAGATAAAGTAAGGATGGTAACTCCTGCCTGATCCCACTGAGTAGGCAGCTTGAGTGTAGGCACGGGAGATGTCCAAGCATATTTGGCATTTTGGGGAGGGATACCAGCATCTTGTGCGGGAGGGCTGTGGGATGTGTGCACATTGCTCTGAGTTACCAGGGAAACTCTATCCTTGCATTATTAGAGCTTCTGAAGGCGTAGCTTTCCTGAGGAGTGGAAAACCAGGGCTTGTGCTGCTTGTAGTAGCTAAGGGAATCCTGTTACTCCTTGCTAGGAGTAGCTGTTAGCCAGGCTGGATTAGGCAGGATTTTGGGGAAGGCTGTGTTCTGGGAATCAACATTATCCCCCTCCTTTCTGCGAAGGGCTCAAACCGTGCCTAAAATCCAGGGAGGCAGCAATGGGGGTAGCACAGAGGAAACAAGTGTTGCATCCTGGCAATGAACAAATGTGTGGGGCCGTTCCCCCCTAGAAGCACTGGGCTCTAAAGCACTTGGGGATCGGAAGAGTGAATGGCACTACAGAAATGTAAAATTGTTTTTGTTCTCCCCTTGACGCATGACCTGCATGGAATTCCAGTTATTGTTAGAGGGGGTTGGACTCTTTCTGAGATGAAAGTAGGCAGCCCAGGTATTTGAGACAGAGGTCAGGAAATATACTCTTAAGGGGTCCTCGTTCCTTGCCCAGGTTGGGACAACAAGGTATATAGCACAGGTCCAGTGGCAGGGAGGGAGGGTATGTTTTCCCTCCTCTCTCTGTGTATTTTTGTGGCTGTCTCTGGGGGTTGGGGGAAAGTGAGACTTTGGGTGGCAGAGGGAATGATAATTATTCTTACAGTGAAAAACTGCAGGGATGCTTGGGTTTCTTGTATGGAGCTATCCAGGAGCAAAGGAAGGACATGAGAAAGGGAGAACAGCCTCTTCATGAAGCAGTGTTGATGGATTTTTGAGAGAATTGCATCCAGGCTGCATTGCAGATGCAGTGCAAGGAAGACCCTCCATTTTGGGTCCCTTTGACTCCCATAGGAGTATCTGAAGAGGATGTGCAAGGGTTAGTGATTTTTTCACTTTTCAGCAGGGTAGGGCATTTACAAGAGGGTGAGCTCACACCTGGATGAGTGTGCTTTGCTGACACAGAGCCAAATTAGGGGCTGAGATGGGGTGAGAGGTATCGGAATTGTGGATAGTTAGATGAGTTGGGTGGTGTTACAGAGTCTTTTGACCTCTGTGTAGGCTACTTTGATGCTGGTGTGCGTCTGGACACCTTTGCTACTCTCTCCTTTTCCCATTATATCCTGCAGTGATCCTCCATTTTCCCTTACCCTCTGAGGGGAGGGCTTGCCCATGCTCTCCCTTGCCTTGTATGTGCAGAGTCAGTACAGACTGATTTCACCCACCGTTTGTCAGAAAGGAGGCCCCTTTTCCATCCTTCCCTTCCCTCTCTTCTTCCTCCTTTCTTTCTCTCACCCTCTCTCTCTCTCTCTCACTAACATGCTCTTATCTGCCTCTCCTTCTGCAGCAGATGTGGATGGCAATCTCCCTTGGATTCCCACTGTGCCCCCCAGCGAAGTGACAGTGACAGACATCACAGCAAACTCCATTACCGTCACTTTCAGAGAAGCACAAGTGGCTGAGGGCTTCTTCCGAGACCGGAGTGCGCAGTTCTGAATCCCTGTTTTCAGTGCTCCCCAAAACTAGTGCTTTTAGGGTGGGGCTAGGGAAGGGTTATTTTATCCCTTAAGAAAAAAAAAAAAAAAAAAATCCAAAATGTCTCCTCTTAAAATGTTTACAGACACCTTCTTTTTTTTCTCTTCTCCTTTCCCCCCTTTCAGATACGCAAAAAAGGGCAGTGTAGGGGGTGTGTGTTTGTCATTGCTTTGTCCATCTGAAAAACTGACAGCCCTTTCCCTGGCAAAGACTCCCCTCCTAGATGTGAAAGCAGCAAGCTGAACAATTCGCCTTTTATCCTGTTAAGTGGCGGCAGCTGCATTTGTGGGGAGAGGGCATGTGGAGGTGGAAAGAGATCTGGATCTCTAGCCTGCCGCCTTGTTCTGCAATTGATATCCCTTGGATAAAGATACTTCTCTGTGCATTGCTCTTCCCACCTTCCTCCTCCCTCTCTTCCTGCAGCAGTGAGAGGCGATGGATCCTACCTGTTTAGATAACTCCAGCCTGTTAAGACTTTCTCTCCAGTGCTGTTTTCCCTGTGGCCTGCTGTCAGGACTTCAGAACCATATTTGCCTGTCTGTGGTAAGTCAGTCTTTGCAGCACGGGTCTGTATAGACAGCAGAGGTTTCTTTCTTTGATTGGTGATCATGCGGAAAGACTGAAATGCATCTCTGAAATCTAGATCGGCGACATAAATTCAATTTGCCCTCATTATAAGCTCAGAAACCCAGCGCAGTTGAGACATACCATTCTGTATATGCTAAACAGGATTTCCAGGCTCAGCTCTGCTGTGTGAGGAATGTGTTATGGAAAGTGGGGTGTTCTTCCCCTTTGCCAATTTCAGTATTAATAACAAATGCTGTCCTGAATCTGTGGTAATAAGTTGGTTGAAAACTGACTCCTCTCCCCTGGGAGGAGGTGCTAATAGGACAACCAAAGCATTGCCTGGCACTGCAAAGATATCCAAGATACTGGCACAGGCCCAGGACACAGGAATTGAACAGAACTGAGCCAGAAATGGACCTTGATTAGCAGCAAATTCTGTTCTTGGATCCCATTGGGACATCCAAGGTAAACAGCATGTGGGGAAGGCATACATTAGATTTGAGGAGGGGAAAAAATTTCTTAATTCTTAGCAATGAGAATTCTTGGATTCTACTGCCTGAGTAATATTCTTCCGTGACTCCAGTCTCCTCACAGTATCTGTGATCCTGTACTACTTTACTGATGGGAACTTCCCCTTGGAAGGCTTAAAAATCTTTGCCAAGGAAAGCAGTCTGCATTTCAATAGACCCTGCCTGATCTTGCACTTAAAAATGCCTTGTGCTGGACTGCCTGTGACACTTTGAGGTTTTTGAAGAATTGCTGTATTTTGAGTTGGTAGTTTAGTATAGCATCTGTTCTCGCACGTGCATGTTCTCCTCCTTTTTTTTAAAAAGCAAATTTTATTTAACTAAATTTGTAAATCTAGACCTTTTCCTATGGAAAGCAAGAAAAGTAAGCTAGAGTCTAAGGTGGGGACTGCAGGACAGAGTGCAGCAGGGTGACATTGGCTACTGCCATGATTAATGTCCTTAAATCCTTTGTTTCCTCTCCCCACCCCACCTGAAGCATCTCTTATCTGCTGTATTTTTTCTAAATGAAGCTAAGAGCCTTCTGAGCTCCGAGGTAAAGACATCTGTGGAAACCCTCAATGTGTTCCTTTGAGGGGCATGGCTGTTGGCCTGCAGAATTTGGGAGCTCTGGGGCTTCTTGTCCTCCAAACATCTACTTTTTGCAAAGTGCTTGGACTGCCTCTATGGTTTTTATTAAAAGCAGGTTTTACCTCAGATAGAATGTGGCAGCTCAGTGTAGACTTAGGATTTCCCCTTCCATCTCGTAGCTGTTTGAGCAGACGTGTCCTCCACTGTGTCACAGTAGTTTCAGGACCACTGGGAAGATGTTGAATTTCTGGACTAACCTTTTGTCACTCGAAGAAGTGACATGGGAGTCTTATTATGGAGAAATCTGAGAAGGTGAGAAGTGGAAGCTGCGGGAGGGGGGGTGGGGTGTGGGTGCCTAGAATTATGTGGTGGGAGCAAGAATGAGTGGGAAAGAAGCTTGCTGTAGCTAGCAAGGGCAAATTGATGAGGTAAGCACACAGGCTCAGGATGTTTGTTGAACGTGGGTGTCCAGAGCGAGGCTTCTGTATCTGGAGTTGCACCCACTTTTGCAGGATGTGGGGTCAGACATTGTTGTCATCGTCACCCACACACACACCCACAGGCCCCCTCTTCCCAACACCTGCCAAATGTGCCAAATACCTGCATCTCTCTTTTGTCATAACCAGTGGACACACCACACGGGTGAGTCCACTCTTGAGGGTTGTAGCAGGTCAAGTAGTTAGGTTGAAAAAGCATAATATTTTAGCTTATTTTTTTAAAAAGTCTTGAACTCCAGCTCATCCTGCTAAATCTTCAAGGCATTTATAGGTTCTGGTTTCTTTATTCTAATGCGGCTACTGCTGCCTTTGTCCTGTCTTTATCTCAGTGTAAAAATACACCAAAAAAGCTTCCTATTTACTAAGGATCCTAGCTTTGGTTGACATCGGAAGCAATACCAGTCCTGCAACAGGAAAGAGCTTGTCCTAATAAACTGAATTTCCATCCTCTGCTTTTCTTTCCACTCACCAGCTGAGACTTCTCAATGTTTTGTTTTGGCATTTCTCTTTCAACATTTTTGGTTCCTCTTGCAGTGGAGTTTTCAAAGACCTGTGGTGGTCTTTCAAAGAGGATCCACCTACAGCTTCATATCTTAATCATTTTTTGGATCAAGCTAGCTGGTGTTCTGCTGGTGACTAATCATCTCACTATATGAAGTGTTAAACAAAGTACCTGGCTAGCATGCTGCTTTGTGTACAGGTCAATGAGGAGTTAACCCTTATCGGATTGAGCGTGGGTGGGTTTGGTTTGTGTGTGTGTGTGTGAGGAGGAGTTTGTGGTAGGAAACTAAGCAGTTACTGTGTTGGGGTGGACTTTTTTTTTTGACATTCATGAATTTTTGCTTATCTTAAGAATCTTTTTTGAGAAGATTTTTCTCTTGATCTTTTTAAAATGTGGCCCTGTTCCATATTGTCTGGTGACATATTGTTGTAAACTTCCTTGGTAGAGCTGGTCTTCTGGAACTTTAAAATTAGCTTTATTCCACTTCTGCAGGTGTAGAGATGTATGGGGCTTTTAATGGTGATGGCAAGAGAGGTTGTCTGGGTTTACTTGTCTCTTCTCCTCAATACCATCTATCTGAGTTCAACCCAAAATCTGAAAATTGAATTGGGACCTCTTGGGCTAACATACTGTGAAAATCAGATGCTGTGCTCAGAGCTTCGTTAAGCATTCCATTTGATTAGAAGAGCCAGAATAACATCCAGCTGAAGCTGAGTTTAATAATTCTATTTGAAGCACAAGCCAAGAATAGAAATGGGCTAACTCTCCCATACCTCGTTTGGCTCCATGGCTGTAAACAAGAAAAACAAACTTCAGCCAGTGGAAATTACTGAACTGTATGCAAGAAACAAACTTCTCAAAGAAGAATAGTCATTCTTAGAACTGTTTCCATGTGAGAATTTACCAGCCACGTTGGAGGGACAGAAGTTTTTATGTCATAGATCTTCTCACAGTGAACTTGCTGTATATATGACAGAACTAAGGGATTTCATGAGATTGGAAAACCTTTACTGTTAACACTGTGTTTAAAAAAAAAAAAAAAAAAGTAAAAAAAAAAAAAAAAAAGACTGCCACTGTTCCTGGATGGTTATAAACTAGATGTTGCTGCTCTGATATACAAGTGATGCCTTGGAACAGCAAGTTTTAACACGTAAATAGTGGCATTAAGTAGCCTATCTCCTGCATGCTCCTTATTGTCTTGCATTTGCTTGGGGGCCCTTCGGCTTGTGAAGTCAGACCAAGGTGGCTTTTTTTTGGCTTTTTTTTTTTTTTTTTCCTTTTCCTTTTTCAAGCAAGGCCAGGATATTATTGTGAAAACACCCAAAAGCAGTTCCATTTGCCAAAATAAGCCCGAATTTGTTAGTGAATTGACCCTTACTTGTGTTGGAGCCTTGGAAAGAAAGAAGCTTATTGAGAAATGAATGGCTCTTTTTTTGTTGTTAGTGTTGTGAAACTGTCCAGAATTGTTCTTCTGGTGTTTTGTGACTGAATGTATAAAATTGTTTGTTCACCTCACAGGGGGCCCTTGGCCCCAGTGCTGTTTCCTGCTGTATGCCAGCTAGTGCTGTTTGATGGTTTCACTGGAATAGAGAAGGGAGAGCTTGCACAGGTCAAAAAATAGGCCGGGTGTGGCTCATGCAAGACCCTCAGTGGCAGCCCCAAGAGGCCGAAATGTGGAAGACAGCAGAGAGGGCTGTCAGCCACATCCATGTATCTGGGCAAAGCTAAATTTACTACCACCTCTCCACCCCTTCCTCTCCTCTCAAACTTTAAGTTTGTGCTTTCTGAAGTAGGGAAAGTGCAAAAACCTCCTTTTCTAAAGCTGATTGGTATCTGTCTACCTGTCTTCTGTTCCTCCTTTGCTTACCTGCAGCCTAGGAAGAAGAGGGCAGTGGGCCTTCTAGGAAAATAGTAGGGGCAGGGGCTTGCCAGGGAGGGAGTTGGCTCGGAGTTGCGCTCTTTAGGGGGTTGAGGACAGGCCTTTGGGCGAGCTGGCAGTTGAGAGAGAAAGCATGTTAGAAGTGCAAAGAGCTTGTAGTGACGCTGATCCCTTGCATCAGTGAGTGGACATCCCTTGGAATTCCAAGTGTACCCTGTGGAGAGGAGAGAGCCAGCGCTGCATTTGTGTATCTGTCCTTTACCATTTGGGAAAGCAAGGGAGATGTGTACGTTAACAGCTTGCATGGGGTAACTTCTACATGGGAATGCATAGCCATGGCACATACAGGTAAAGGGAACATGTCACTTTTACCGTGCTTGTCGTAAAACAATTTTCCCCAAGGGCATGGTAAACTTGTTTTGAGACAATAGCTTGTGATATAAGAGACCATGTTGTCCTCTGCCTGCTGAACTTCTTGTCCTCATAGAGAAAGCATGAACCTTCTGGGTGTTGAACCACCTGGCTTCCACCCAAGCAGCTGGTCAAGATGGGAAGGCCTACAAAATAGCCCCAGGACAACTGGGAGGAGAGAGAAGCAATCACTTAAAACTGAATTCAGACCCTTCAAATCCCTCCTTGTTACAAGCACTTCCTGGAGTAATGACGCCTTTTTCTCTTCCACCTCTCTTTCCCTTGCACCCTTCATTTCTTAAAGTACGGTGGCTTAGCAGGGAGCGGGTAGGAGATGATCCTGAGTTAACTGGGAGTTGTAGAGAGGAGCAGAGCTGAGTGGGAGCACGTAACGGCTGAAGGGGGGAGACGGGTTGCTGCCAAGCCAGGAGGGGGTAGAAAAGCTTTGCTCCTGAGATTGCAGCACAGCCCACAGCAGATGGAAACAAAGATGCTAGGGGTTCTGGTCTGAGAGTGCCAGGCAGGTGCTGAAAGGGAGAATTTGTAAGACTGCTCAGAACCTCTATCACAGCTTATCTCTTTACTGGGGTAGCAGAGTTTTGACTGGGAGAGGGATTTTGGAGGAGGAGGAGGTGGAAAGCCTTTATTATTATTATTATTATTATTTTTTAACCAGAAAATGTAGAGTCAGCACAAATAAGCTTTTTGCAAATCTGTCAAAATGTTAAGCAGCTTTTTTTTTTTTTTTTTTTTTTTTTTTTTGCTTTTAAAGCTGAAGTACGTTTTGAAGCACTTTGGAAATGCAAAGCACTAGGAGTGCTAAGTACTCCTTACCGTCTGCCTAAAAGTGGCATTTGAAAAGCAAAAGATGTATCTGTTTCAGGCCGCTGGCTGCTCCGAATCATTTTTCCAGAGCTGCCACCCAGCCCTTTGCCTCCCTCCCATGGCTGAAGGGGGAGTGTGCTCCACCGTGCCAAGTAAAGGAGGGCTCCCTGAGGGAGGAGAGGAGACCTGCAAAGTCCCTCGCTTGCCCTCAGGGTGCAGGTTGGCTTCCTCCTTCCCCACCTCCTTTGTCTGAGGAAAGGGAAAAAGGAGGTTGAGTTTCAGTTTGAGTGGTCCTAGTCTGGAACTACGACCACTTCTTCAAGTTCTGGAGACATCTTTATTGAGTTTCTTGTACGAAAAATTGCACCTTATTAGCTTAGTTGAGGAACGGGGAGATGTCTGTCGTTCTGCAGGGAGTGGGTAGAAGAAGGGAGGGTGAGCCAGGAGCTGTCTTCAGTAGCTGCTGGATTTTTCCAGAGGCCATTTCCTCACCTCATCTCCAACCTAACGGTAACAAAAGAACTAAAATAATTTAGATGAAGCTTTTGTTCTGCGTATCTCAACAACCTTTTGAGCAGGCTAAGATGAAGCTTTTTTCCTCACCTAGCCAGCTCTACAGCTGGGGGAACCCCAGTTCTCTCGCTGGGTTTTCAGCACCAACCTTTTCCCTCGGCGTACGCACATTGTTTGGACTCTTTTGCACACTGACTCATCTAATTTGGTATGCTTCCTTTCTGTTGGGGGGGCAAAGATGGGGGATGGGGTCAGTTAGAGGGGAGGGTCCCCAATTATTTTTGTTCTCGTCTCTTCAGTTGTTGCCGTTGTTCCTGTCAGCACGCTAGAGTATGAGTCTTTGCACACAGAAAGCTTCCTTTTGCACAGAATGAGCTTCTAGCTTTTGTACAGACTAATTGAATGTATTGGGGGGGGGGGGGGGGGGGGAATAGGGAGTAAACCAATTCCAAACAAACCAATCGGAGTATAATGCCTTTTCTGAGCGAGTATGTGCTGTAAAAGGAGATTGTAATAGCAAAGGGAGGGCAGGCTCAAGTATAATTTGACACAAAGTGTGGTTTTATTTTTGTACTGATACGGATAAGAGACTGTACAGCATCTATTTATTTAGATGATTTATGTGGTAAATGTTGCAAACGAAATTATTAAAATATTAAATATGAGAACTGACATTTACCTAATGGTCTGTTTGTGTGGTCATTTACCTCCCCTTACTTTAATTCTACAGCTGAATTATTTTCCGCCAGTCACTTCTGTTTGTATAAACATGCAGTGTGACTGGAAAAAAAATGGAAAATGTGTTTGCGTGCAAGACAGAGAACAGTAAAGGAGGATCAATGAAGAATGGAGCCTGCAAAAGGCTGTTTCTGACATTACTCATTACTTTGATTCGAGGAGGTTAGGTTTTTATTAATTTTTAACCCACTGGATAAGTTAGAGCTGTACAGAGGTGACCCGGGATGGTTGCTCTTTGATGGATTAGAATTTGAAGAGGAGAAAGCTGATGGCAGGGTGACTGCTGCTCTGGGTTTAGGGAGCTCTTGTCATCCTCGCACAGTGCTGCGGTGCCGGGGCAGCTCTGCCGGCGCCAGGAGAGCGCTGGTGAGCCCCATGTCCTGCGTCCCTTGGGGAGAGCAACTGAGGCGACGCCTGGGCTGCCCAGCACGCTCCGTGCTGGTTGCCAGCGGGGAAGCCGCTCTCCTCTAAGCCAAAGCCTCCTGTGGGTTGGCCTGCTGGCCTTTCGAGGAGCTCCCCAAGAGCGCAGCAGCTCCCAGGTGGAGTTTGGCCCCTGATTCACTGCAGGCAACACGGGGCTTAGCCGAGAAGCCCGAATCCTGGAACAGCTGATACTCCACGGAGAGAATCCCAAGTGTCATTTCATCCGCTTTGGTTTCCGAGTTGCTCCTTCCAGGCGTGTACCTCTCCAGCCTCTGTGGAGGGGAAGGCTAGCTGTTCGTCGGGGTACCTCGGCAAACAAATGGGGGTGTCCGAGATGTCTTCAGTAGACGGCACATGGGGCTGAGCCCTGCACCCGAACGCAGCTATGACGTCAATCACAAAAGCACGCAGAGCAGAAGTGGAGGGGGTTGGGGTGCGTTTCCTGAGTCGGTCATGGCTCAAGGCGGCGTGGTTAGGTCTTGCCAGCGTTACCAGAGCGCAGTCAGCGTGAGCCAGCGGGGCTGGATTTGAGTGATGGCATCGGAGCAGGCTGCAGCCAGCCACTCGCTTTCTGGCAGCAGATAGTGAGTCAGGTGAAGTTGTAAGAAACTGCAGTGCAGAGTTACGGGAAAGCCTTCTCTGGAGATTGTGTCTTCCTACCCCTGCCAATGCTGCAGAGGCAGGCTGGCGCTAGAAACTCATAACGGCTTGTCCTTTCACATGCATGTGTTGGTTGGATTAAAGGATAATCTGGATAGTACTACTTTCCTTTTTTTTTTTTTTTTTTTTTTTTTTTTTTTAATAATCTGTTGCTATGCCAGCCCCGTGATCCGCGCCATGCAGGCGGCTTGCCTTGCACAGCTCTCCCGAAAGGACGCCCGAGAGCAAGGGCACGGGGCTGCACTGCAGGACGTGCCCCCGGCTCCCCGCTACGGTAGGCAGCACCCAAAAGGGGAAACCACATGGACTGAGCCGCTCGCTGTTCTCCGAGAAGCGTGGAGTGAAATGCAGCGTGTGTGGCCCCTACGATGGCGAGCGCTGTCAGGAAGCTGGCAGTCACCTCCTGTCTGTTCAGCGCCACTCGTTTCCCCTGCTCTTGGTCCTTCTCTCGCCAGCGTTTTGCTCGCCGAGTGACGGTTTTTGAAGCAAGGATGCAAGAAACTTGGGGGACTTGGGTAATCACCCTGATCCAGTGGCAACCTGGGTGGCTGGGCCTGTCTGGGAACTCGTAGGCAGGCCCCAGGGGTATGGTGGTGCCCCAGCAGTGTAGGCACTGCAGGAGCCCCATGGGCCGCCTCCTCTCTCTGCTACAGCAAAAAGTCAGGGGGCTGGAGGGGTGGTTGTTCTGGTCACTGCTCGGGTCACACGGAGCTACCAGAGCTGCTGCACGACGAGGTACGCGGTCAGTTCCGAGGGGTCTGTCCTTGCCCCTGCGTGTTTCAGAGTTGCAGCTGGGAAATCTCACCGCGCGTTGACACGGGTAACCGCAGCACCAAGGGTTTGCTTAAAAACCGATGCAGCATTTGCTGGAGGGGCTGGGGTGTGTGCAGCTGCGCCAGCTCCGGGTGTAGGCGAGGGAACGATCCTTTCTTTACAGGAATCTGCCCCTCCTGATAGCGACCTCCCTGGAGCAAACAGCAACCGAGTTGGCTGATCGTCCCTTGGAGTTGTTCTAACGGAGATCGGCGCTGCTGCTCCTGCCAGGTCACAGGTTGGCAAAAAATGAGCCTGGAGGAAGTTACTGGCTTCGAGCAGGTGAGCTTTTCATTATCGACTGCCATATAAAAAATAAATAAAAATGTTCTTGCACCTGCTGCTCTCCCCCAATGCTCATACACCGCTTGCCAGTGATTCTGGTGTGAAAGGTCTTGTTGTTCCCCCAAAGCTTATTGCTTCCCTGCGTTGGCTTCTCAGTGCCAGCAAGAAGTGCTACGGCGTATCCTACAGCACCAGGGTCTTGCGGGCAGCAAGACACCAAAAAAATATTTTATTTTGGTGTCCATAGTGAACAATAGCTGTTCTGGGAGAGCCATCTTCCTATGTTGCTGTTGTGGTTTTGTTTTTTTTACTGGAAACTTGAATGAAACAAAGGAAATACCTAACAATGCTCTGAACAGCTGGGTATTTTGCTGCTATTTTGCTTTGCGAGAGTAAAAGTTAAATGAAAGAGCCTGGGGTTGGGCAATACCCGTACAATGGCTGCTCGCTGTGATTGGCGTAGTTGCCATGTCTGGAAAGAAGGTCCTGCAGAGAGGTGGAAGGAGCAAATAACTAGAAGGAGCATGTGGCGGTCTCTGAAGTGCTGCTGCTGCCCCTTTTGGCCCACAGATCGGGGGTGCCTTGTGCGCCTGCCCTGAGGTGAGGTGTGCTGCTCGCGATCCGTACGTCTGTTTGGGGACAAGGCCATCAGTCACAGCTGCTGCCAGCGTCCTTGCGTAGCTGCATGAGGAGTCTTTCCCCATTTGATTTGGGAGTGCCCGCTTTTTAGGGTGGATGATATTGATGGTTGGAAGTTCAGTTATTTGAAGCTCAGCCACAAGTGTAAAAACAATTGTTTAAGCGAAGCGAACAGTAACAAATATGCCAATTTAAATGTGGATGGTGTTAATGAACACTTAATGTGCAAAGTTAAAAGCAGTTAAAAAAGTGAAAAGCAAAATGTAACAGCTGTGATCGACTTGTTCTTTTGAAGTCACCTTCAAGCATATAAAGAACTGAGATTAAAAAAAGTGGTGTCTAGAGAAATGGGGTGGTCCAAAGGACTTGTCCCATTCTACGTGAAAGTCCTGAGTGATCTGTCCAAGGTTTTGTTCTCTGTTGGACTGTGATGGTAAATACCTGAGAAAGGGCTGCTTATAGCCTATTCTCGAAGCGAGTGATAGGACCTAAATGCAGAATTATCAGTGGGGAAGTACACTGCGGTCCAGTCCCTGACCACAGAAACACCTTGTTCTCTGCATTGTGTGCATGTCCTGAACCAGAGTCCGTGTGACCGTCCGTTTGCCGTCACTGTCAGCATTCAGCAACCTCTCCATCCACCCTGCTTCAAACGAGGACAGGCGGTGGGGAACACGTCTCCTCTTGAGTCACTTCTCTTCTGGTCAGAGAGCCTGTGGCGGCTGCAACTGTTCAGCTGCTAAGGTGAAAAAGAACAAAATGTTATGACACATCTCGCCTGAATTGCAGGCAGTGAGGAAAACGCTTGTTCTCCTACCTGCCCATCTTGCTTTTGGGAAATCCATCCCGGCTAGCACTGATAAATACAGCCATTGCCAGACGATCCTCCTTCTGGGGCGAACTTCTGAGCCAGAGGTGGAAAGGGGAGGCGAATACAAATGGAGAAAGGGTTAGAAAAAGCCACGGGAGCTCTGAGTGCTCCCTGCCAGGCCGGCTGAAAAACGTGAGGCAGAGGGGTGCCAGTGCTGTGCAGGTGGCTGGTGAGGTCACGGTGGGTTGAGAAAGAGCAGCAAAAGCAAGTTGGCTGTTGCCTGGGGCCACTCAGTCACAGCTCCCCTTTTTCCAGAGGGTGTAATTCCAAAATGCACCCCCTGCTCACCCTAAAAACAGAGGTAAAGCACAATATGCAGTTGTGCTGTGCCAGATGGTACCTGCAGGTAACAGGATCGTGATCTCCACATGAAGAGAGCTACAGGGCCGTGAGCTTCCATCTTGAATCACAGAGCATGATTGTGGCTGAGGTTTTTTTCTTTCTGTCTTTTTAGCACCTGCAAGGGAGTGTAAAGTACACTGCAAATTAAATAGGATTTTGCAGTAACACTCAGGGCAGGGAATTCCTCTATGTGACTTAACATTTTTTTTTTTTTTTTTTAAAGGTTTATGTAGCACGCTTGGCCCACTTACCTTGCAGCACCTTATACTAGCTCAAAAATGAGGGCACATGCAAGCGCCAGCCAGAAGGAAAAGAAGAAGAAAAAGGATTTAAGCACCTTTATTGCTAATTTTTGCCATGGTAGGTACTTTAAGACTGCCTGCTTCCTCACCCAGCTGGGTAGAGGTGGGTGACGGTGCATTTGCGTGTACAGAAGGAGGAGAGGAGGCAGCGCGGCCCCCGCGGCCGCCATTGTTTTAAGAAAAAAAAAAAAAAAAAAAGAAAAAGAAAAGGACCCGTTTGGGCGGGAAGGGGCTGAGGCAGCGGTGGCGCACCGGCACCGCCGCCATGCCGAGGCTCTGCCCGGCCGGGCTTCGCTTTCCCGCTCCCCCGCGAACCGCCCGGCCCCCCGCCTCGAACACCACCGCCCCCCCCCACCGTGGGCAGGGGCGGCGGGTCCCCCCCCCCCCGTCACGGGGCGCGGAGCGTGCGTGGAGGGGACGCAGCGGCGGCGCCCCCGCCCTCACACCACCCGCCGTGCGCGGCCCCTTTAACGGCCGGCGCCTGCGCGCGACCCCCTTGCCTTAGCAACCGCCCCCCCCCCCCCCCCTCAACACACACCACCCCCCCTCTGGGGGGGAGGGTCACGCGCGGCCGCGGCGGGAGGGGGCGCGCGGGCGTGCGCGAGCCGGCGGCGGCACGAGGAGGGCGGGGCGGGGGGCAGGGGGGCGGGGCGGCGCGGGCGGGCGGGATTATTATGGGCTGTGGGCGCCGCCGCCGCCGCCGCTGAGGAGCAAGATGGAGCTGTCTGCAGTGGGGGAGCGCGTTTTCGCCGCCGAGTCCATCATCAAGCGGCGCATCCGAAAGGTGAGGGGCCGACTGGTGTGGGGGGGGTGGCGGCTGCAGGAACTCCCCTCACCCCCGCTCCCCCCCCCCCACCCTCCGCTTCCCGCTGCCGGGCCCCGGCCGCGCCGCTCGCCGGCCCGCCGGGCCCCCGCCTCACCCCCCGTCCTCCCTCCCTCCCTCCCTCCCTCTCTCTCCCGCTCCCCGTGTGTTGCAGGGACGCATCGAGTACCTGGTGAAATGGAAAGGCTGGGCCATCAAGTGAGTGCATCCCGCCGGGCGCGGGGTGGGGGGGGGTGGGGGGTCCCACCCCGGGGGCCGCGGGAGTCGGGGGGGACGGGATGGGGTGTGGGGGGGGCGTCTCTGATTGTGGCCGTGGGGGGGGGGGGGGTGTGTGTGTTTGGGCGCTAACGCCTTCGTTTGTGTCGTCCCCCCCCTCCCCCGCCGCCCCTGCCCCCGGCAGGTACAGTACCTGGGAACCCGAGGAGAACATCCTGGACTCCCGCCTCATCGCCGCCTTCGAGCAGAAGTGAGTGCTCATCCCCCATCCCGGGCTGGGGGGGCTGGAGAAGGTTTGGCTTTGGGTGGGCAAGTGAGAAACGGCATCCAGGCTCGTCTTTTTTTCTTTTAGCTTTCCTTTTTTTTTTGTTATTGGTTTTTTTTTTTTTTTTGTTTTGAACATGTATGCCTCTGTTTCTCCCTTGGGAAAAAGTTTTAACTTCTTGACAAATTTGACTCCTTAAAGGGAACGAGAGCGTGAGCTGTACGGGCCCAAGAAGAGAGGACCTAAGCCTAAAACTTTTCTCCTGAAGGTAACTCTTATTTAAATAACTTAGGCCTAGCCAAATGTCTCTCAAACCTCATCAGTGCGTGCCCTTGGAAGGACTGGACTTTCAATTGACTTGTGCCTGCCGCCTGGCTCTGGGAACGCGGGGACAACCCGACGGGAAAGTGGGTGGGGGGCAGGGACGCAGAAGCATGCGAGGGGAGAGCGTGTGTGTGTGTGTGTGCGTGCGAGCGACGGGTGCCTCGGCAGGACGGTCGGTACACGCGGATGTGCACAGTGAGGCTGCCATCTCTTTTTCCAATATCCTCTCCCTCTTTATGGCTTTCTGCTGCCGCAGTGGAGAGCCAGCCAGCCCCGCTCCCTCTTCCTTCAGCAGCCTATTCCATCTAGCCGGCGCCCTTGCAACTTAGCAGCACGCTGAGCAGCCGGGCAGCTGTGGCGGGAATCTGCCGCCACTTGTGCTCCTCCGATTGTGTTTCAGGATATAGGCTCTCCGCGGGAGTTTCGTGAAGGGTTCATGTTTTGATCTGTAAACTGTAGGCTTGTTTAGCTGTTGGAGGGCGGGGTGGGGGGTGGGTGCAGCAGGGGCAGGAGGAGTGTTTCACCTCTGCGTAGGACAGTAGCTGAAGTTTCCAGTTCTCGTCTGATAGACCCAGCATCTCTGCAAGGAGGTGTTGTCATAGCATCTCTGCTTGCTTGCAGTGAAGAACAAGGAAGGTAGTCCCTTGTGCAGCACTGCTGTGTCGTGTCCCGTCCCCCCCCCCCAGTTTTTTTTTTACTTTCTTTTTTTAACTAAGAAACCTGGTAGCTGCATGACTACTGTGTGAGCTCTACCAATTTATTAGTTTACAGAGAAAACTCCTTGATTTGCTTCCTTCTTCCCCCTCTTCTCAGTCTCAGACTTCAAATGAATGTAGAAACAACACACCTTTGTACAATTAAGACGTATGAGCAAGCTCACATCTTCCCCTGGTTTTGTTCTGGTATAAAGCCCTGGAACAGCCAGGGTGAACCATGTGGTAAGGCATCGCTATCACTAAGTCATCCTATGGCTTTGGGCAAGTCATTTAGCCTTTGTGTATGTCTCCCCATCTGTGAAACAGGTTAATACTTTCCTTTGCCTGACAGCGGTAGGAGCTTTACTCAAGTCAGTGCAGCACTTTAACTGTATGAGCACCGGAAAGAGCAGTGAGGGGTAGGGTATCACCTCTCCTCTGCTTTAAGAGGACATAATGAAGCACACAGAAGATATGCAGGAACATGTGTATTCTGATGCCCTGAGTAAAGCCCAGGGGACCATGATAATCCTTGGGAAGTCCTGCTGACAGAACTGTCCTTTTCACTGCCTGTTTTTCTGCTAACAGTTTTCTGGATCTGCAGTCTGAGAACGACAAACATAACTGATACGTACCCTCTCTTACACTTTATTCAGAGAAACTAGACTAGTTGGTTTTTCTCTTTCTGGCAGTCATGCATTAAATGAAACCCTTGTGTTTAGGTTTCCAACAATGCAGAGGAACGCTTAAAGGGAAACCACCAGCTTAAAATAGTTCTCTGCTTGAATTAAAAAATACTGGTATTTATAACACCTGACATTGTTCAGAGTGGTAGAGGAGTGTTTATGCTGCACTTTTAACGTCAGTGTGTGTAATCAGTTTCTTTTCTTTTTGATTCTGAATGTGATATGGTAGAATTCACTGCCAACTTCTCACTCATTTAAAAAACCACAACCAACCCCCAAAATCAAAAAATAAAACCCACTCATTCCTCCTCTTCTCCCCCTGCTCTTTAAACCACCCCCCCACCCCCCCCCCCCCCCCCCAAACTTGGAACCTGAATTATTCAACAGCATCCGTTGAATCATGTCCCTGACGTGTTTCTGTGGCACATCTTCCTTCTGCCAGCTTCTCAAACGTTACTGAAAACCTGTAGGTTTGTGGAGCTGGCTTGGTACTTTGCAGAAGATGGATCGCGATAAGGAGCGAGATGAGCTCTCCTGAAGGCTGGTGCCACATTGTGGGAGAGGCTGGCAGGGCAGAGCGCTGCTGCTGCCGCTTGGTTTGCAGCTCTGGGAAACAGGAGCTGCTGAAACTGTTAGCACTCTGACTTGCCGTTTTTCTGTGACTTTCGGATCCTACCCTAAAAATAACACCCCAGGGCCACGCCCCAAGGAGTAACTCTATCTCTTGCTAGCCCTATCTGAACTTGTTTGAGCTCTGTTCAGGCAAACCACGGTCAACACAACTGCAGACAGAAACATGACAGAGGCCGGCACGATAGTTTGCATCGTACGCCTCTCTTGGTCGGTTCTGACCTGCCGAAGATGCAGGTTTGACCTCTGCCAGCCCTGCAGCACCAGTGCCGCTGTGGGAGGAGTGGGATTTGGCTCTGCCTCACGCATTGCTAATGATGTTTTCGAATCTTTCAGCTGCAGAATCTCTTGCCAGTGAGAATTTCGGAAGCAGGGGAAGAAATCTGATTCTTGGATCCCAGAGGGAGTTTTTGCAGTTGGCAGTTAGAACAATATTCTTTTTGATCTGTTAACTGAACAGATTAGGCCTGGATGCAGTGATGTTTAAGCAGGAGTCTGGCCTAGGACTGCTTTGGTAGACTAGTCTGCCATTGACTTGGTGGCTTGCTAGGATTTTTCATGTGTATCAGTGCTTAAATTTGGGCCTCTGAGCCTCCAGTAAGGCTTTGAAATAAGCGCCCCCATATGCTGCTCAGTCTCCTGGCTTGTGCGGGTGTTTTAGTTTGCAGTTGGGGCTAGGTTTATCCTCGGATTAGTTCTCGAAAGCTGCAGATAGGCACCCAGGGGGATTTGCAGAAAGCATTCCAGCAGGTTAGTGGCCCACGCCTTTGGAAAAGCTTTGAAAAGCTGCATCTTTGGCCACCTGCTGCCTTTATAAGCCAGGCTTCTGTTGCTGAGAGCTGTCTAACACTTGCCCTTTAGATCAGACTGCAAAGGAAATTACAGACCGGGCTTTGTAATATCGCTATCAAGATGGCTGGTGTTGAAAGTGACCCCTGCAAACTTCAACTGCAAAGTTTTGGGCAGGAAGTTGGTCTTTATTCTCAGCATACTAGGGGCAAACTTTCCCACAGCTGAGATCAAGCTTGGCGGGAGGTTGTAATTCTTGGGAGGCTGCTGGTATGCTGTGAACTTTGTGCTGAGTGTATGGGAAGCGGAGTCCTTGGTCTGAAATGGGCAGCGCTGTACATAAGGCTCTTGCCATACTACTTAGGTGCCTGGCAGAAGTCATCCATGAGGATGGGCCCTTCAGCTCCAGGTCAGAAGGGAAGCTGATGTGAGGTTAGAAAAGAGACACACAGCACATGCTGTAGTGATCTTCTTCTTTTCCCCTGCCTGGTTTGCTTTTTTTATTTTGCTTTTCCCTCGGCACTCCGCTGTGTGGAATGGAAAAACTTGCCAACTAATGTAATAAAGTCTAGCAAGTGCTGTTAAGAGGCAGAGCCCAGTCTGCAAGCTCAGTGGGTGGCTAGCAAAGACCTCAAGTTAGGGTGGCTGTAAATACTAAGGTGAAAAGACTGGGGAAGGTTAATGAGGAGGAAGAAGCGAGGGGTAGCAGAGTAAAGGAGAGCCTTGGTGGGAGGGGGGGGGGGAAGAAGGGGCTGAGCAGCATGGTATTCTGTCGTTTTGCCCTTCCTTGAACTCTAGAGTTGGAGTTGGGTTTCTTTTGATCTCCTCCCTGTTCATAAATTATCCCCGAGCGGTTTGAAAACAGACCGTTCCCCTTTGTAGCATTTTGTTCCCCATCCAGTAGGGAAACTTTAGTTTATGGCAGTGTTGCTTGGGAGAACTGTGCTATGAACTGGCTTGCTGTTGCCTTGTCACTTGGAAGACTGCAGAAGAAAGAGGGCGATAAAAAGGCAGAATGGCAGCCAAAAAGGGGAAAGAAGAGCTCTTGCGAATGCTGTTTGGAGCAAGGACTGTGGGAATGCAGGTGGAGAATAAAAGACAAAGCAGAACCAGTAATTTATGAGAGAGTAGCGCTACTATGGTGCAGCAGCGCTACTGGAAATGACTTGATTTTCAAATAATTAACTAGAAATCCGTTGCCTTACAAGGTCTCTTTTTTTTTTTTTTGGTACTTTTTTTTTTTTTTTTTTCTTCCAAATTGCAGAGGTTTTGATACAAATCAGGTAAGAGAGGCTTTTCTAAGCACGTGTACGTGCTTGTGCGCCTCAGTGCGTTAAGGGAATGAATGAACAAATATGCTTGCTGGGCCTCAAGGGACATTTATTCAGAAATAGTAGGGAACAGGGGAGATATACTGGTTCCCAGGGGCAATGAGGGAGAGCTGTGCAAGCTAAATAAAGGTGATACATATCCCAAAAGGGAAGGGGGGGAAGGGAAGCAATCCTAGCAATTGGCTTGCTCTCGTGACAGAGCACTGCAGCAAACCTCCAGAAGCTGCATCCTGATGTAGGCTGAGCTGTAAGCAGGGAGTGAATTACTTCGTATACATGCTGAGTACCTCTTCAGCAGTGAGCAAATCCTGCAGGTGAAAACAGCAAAACCCAGAGAGCTAGTTTCCATTTGGAAAACTTCTGAGTTAAGTAGCAAACTGTGGTGACACAGCTGAAGGGATTAAACGGGTTTGTTTTTCAAAGACCTTACGCTCGTACGGCTCGTGAGTGTGATTGAGTAATGGATCCGTAGCAGGGAGAAGTGAGTTTCCAGCAGATAAAACTGGATACCAAGTCTTCTCCAAACCAGAGGTAGCAAGTTACTGAATGTAAAGCTAGTAGCAGGAGGAGAGCTCAGAAAATGGGCTGTTCTCTGCAGGGAAGAGACTTGAGTTTGTATAGTTGATGCCTGAATAAACCTGATCCTGTGGTAGGAATACTGAGCTTTGCAAGTGAGAGGGCTCTGGGGGCTGGTCGTAGATAAAGCATCTGATACTATTTTTCTTGAAACCTTACCTGGAAAAACAAGATCAAGGTAAGCTGAATATTTGCATATTGCTCTTTGGAACTTGCATTGAAGCTGGTCACTGGGGATAGCAGTGTAGCACCAGGGGAGGACTGTTGGGTCCCAGCTTACCCTCTCTAATCTGGCCAAAGAGATCGATGCTGCATGTGATCTACCTGCAGACTACTAAAACTGGAGTTGAATAAATGCAGAGAGCTGAAACATGAGTTAGAAACAGCTTCAGCCTTGAGGTGCCCCAGAAGTAACTGGAAACGCAGGCACATAGCAAGTAAAGAAGACCTAGTGGTTCTGGCACACTGGAAAAGTCCTACCCATGAACCAGGGCTCTGTGCTAGCCGCTGTGTAAGCACAAAACCAAGACAGGTCTCTCTGTCAAAACAGGGCGGGAGCTGATTAATGTGCACAGGCTCAGAAAGTAAAATAGTCAGGACTACAGAAGTGGCCGGGCAGTGACCATCCCAGCATTATCGCTTACTCATTCAGTGTGGTTGATGGGAAGCTTTGCTGAGGAATTTTGGGGTGTATAAGGCAACTGTGGGTGGGTGACTGCTTCCCCCAGACTCGGGGGAGGCCGCTGCCTTTCTCACACGGGTGATGGAAGGCAGTGCTGTGAGCAGGCAGCAATTAGACTCGACTCTGAGCAGAGTGGCACAGAGGGGGCAGAACTCCTCACTCCAAGGCGTGATTACAGGGTGGGGAATTGATGTAGAAGACATGCGGAGTTGGCAGCAGGACAGGCCCTGAAGGATGCCTGTGTTTTACCCGCTGAAGCTGTGGATCAAGGATTTTTACTGGTGCATCTGTCTGTACCTTCTGCCTGGCTTCCCTGTCCGGTGTTTTGAACGGGACATCGTGCTGCACTTAGCTCTCAGCTGAGCAGTGGTAAATTAGTGAGAAGCCCAAAACACAAGAGCAGCAGTGCTGGAAGGACTGGCTGTGATGGCAAAGTAACGGGGGATAAGGAAGTACAAAGTTGTTAATTCAATCTGTGCTGGTATGTAATGTCAGAAAGAAAACTGTAGCTTGTCCTGGTGTCTGCCGGGGACCCAGAGGGACCTGTGAAGAGAGGGAGCAAGCACAGCCCTAGATGTGCGTCTGTCCGTGCCTGTGACCTCCCGACAGGGTCTGCGGGGTCTCTTAAGCTGTGGGTCCTTGGGATGGGGAGAGTTCGTATGTGGTGCAGGTTGCTCATCTGGTGCTGCTGCTGTGCTCAGGACTGTGGGATGCCTGGGACAGGAACTGTGTCTAACTATTCAGAAAACGAACAGTTTGGGGCATGGATTAGCATGTGAGGCTGAGGAAGGAGAAAGTAACTGGATACTGGGATGCTTCCTGCTACAGCAGGACGTGTTGGGGTTTGTCTGTGCTGGGGACGCTTCCCTCTAGGTGGGTGAAACAGCCCTGTACAGCCCAGGGTTAACATGGAGAGTCTGCATGCCTGCCTTGGCAGTCGTGTTATTTGTCCCTGTTTCTTTGTCAGTTGGCTAATGCAAAGTCTAGAGTCGCTGGTTCAGATGTGCCTTCAGTCTCCTTTTTCACATACAGCCAGGGAAGGAGGCCTCGTCTTTGCAGTCCTTTCAAAGCCAGGATACAAGTAGTACTGAAGGGCATGATCATCCAGCATTAGCCAGGGAGGAACAAAATGTCTTCACGTCTCTGTTCTCTGCTTGTTCAGGATCTTCTGCGGTTCCCATGGGGATCTCGGTGGGAGATGAGGGGCACTGGGTGACGGCAAAGCTCTGGGGATGTAGGGCCAGGGCTTTGAGCTTATTGTGCAGGAGCTGGCCTGGGCCCCTCGCTTAGATCTGTTAGATCCCTGCCTTTACACGCACATTTTTCTCCCCCAGGCGTTTCTCTGGTAGGAGGCACAGACTGCAGGGTGACAAAGGAGATGGTGTTGGAGTGCTTAAGCTCTTAGCTGGCAATAAGCCATCCCAATCTTGGCGTGTGCAAGGGGGCAACGGGATGGAAAAGTTGGGGAGGAAAAGCAGCTGTCTTCTTCTGGCACTGCAGTTCTTGTTGTGCCCACGAGGTGGGGGAAGCTGCTCACTACACGGTCAGTCAGAGGGGGGCTCGCCTGTTGTGTGTCCCCCCTCCCAGGCCTGTGTGACTTCTGCCTGTGACCACTGCCGGGAGGGAATAAGGAAGGGAGGGTTTGTTTGGGCAAGAAGCAGGGTGCAGGTGGGAGGCTGAGCTCTAGAAGCAACTGTGCTCTGACAAGGCGTTATTGAAGAATATACTCTGGGTTTCCATGCCCACAAGTTCTTCAGGTCATACTACCTCAGCTTACCGATTAAACTGTTGTTCCTGCGGCCAGAAAATGTTCCTGTCTCTGGTGCGTGAACTAGGGCAGGTTTTGGCACGATCTCCAAGCACCAGAAGAGCTTAAAAGTCTTGTTCCCCTGCCCTGGTTCTCAGGCAGGGCTGGCACCGAGCAGTTGAACCGGTGCTGTGTCTGCTCTGTTTCATTAGTAGGTTTCAGACAAGTGTGGTGTTCAAAAGGACGAGGCGATCTCTTTGGAGATGCAGTTAAATTTGGCTTGAATTCCAGTTGGTGTAGTCCCTGGCTTTAAACATTGGACCTCGCTTCCACAGCAGAGTGAGGATGAACAACTTGCTTGTGGTCTCGAGTTAAAATTAAGCTTCAAATCTCTGCATTTCTTGTGTTTGGCTAAGACAGCTCTGTCAGACCAGCCTCACCCACCTCCATCTGTGTTCCTCAAGACCCCCCTTCTACCATGCTTTCCAGAGCAGATGAGTCTGGTTGTGAGAGCAAACTGGATGCATTACTCTTCCTCTCCTCCTTGTCTCGTGCTCGTTTTGTAGAGGACCTGATACAGTCCCCTGTTTTAGGACTAGTACGTAATTTTGGATGCTAACTCAACGCTAACAGCCCCAATGCCTACGAGGACCCTTGGTTGTTTGGACAGTGGAGGCTTGTGCATATTGGCTGACGATGACCGAGGGAGGGGCTTTGGAAACCCTTAACTGTAACACCGAATTGTGGCTGGAGGGTGGCAGTTTCCTCCTGGGAAAAGCACGTGTCGAGAGGGACACAGCCTATGGTGTAATTAGATGCCCAAAAAGGATATAGGCAGTGCCTCGTGCTTGTACGGGTGTCGTGCCATAGCTGTCAATAGCCCATAGGTGTGTATTTGTGCTTGTCGTTCATGTGGGTATAAATGTGACGCGGCATTGCTGGTAAGCGCTTGTCCTGAGGTGAGCAGTGCCCAGTTTGAGACTTGGGTGCACCCAGGCTGCCTCTCTGACCCTGTTTTTTTTTTTTCTCTCTCCCCACCACCGCAGGCTCGGGCCCAAGCGGAGGCCCTCCACATTGGGGATGTACACTTTTCTGTCAAGCCTGGTTCTAGCACCTCCTCTCCCAAGCTCCACTCCAGCGCCGCGGTGCACCGGCTCAAGAAAGACATCCGGCGATGCCACCGCATGTCCCGGCGCCCTCTGCCCCGTCCAGACCCCCAGAACGGCGGGAGCGTGGGTGGCGGGGCTGGCATCCGTCCTCCCGTCTCGCCCTTCTCGGAGACCGTCCGCATCATCAACCGTAAGGTGAAACCCCGCGAGCCCAAGCGAAGCCGCATCATCCTCAACCTCAAAGTCATTGACAAAGGTGGGAAGCCAGCCAATGGGGCCGGGGGTCTGGCTCGGCCCAAGATCCCCTCCCGAAACCGCGTGATTGGCAAGAGCAAAAAGTTTAGTGAGAGTGTCCTCCGCACCCAGATCCGCCACATGAAGTTCGGCGCCTTTTCGCTCTACAATAAGCCGTCCGCCGCGCCTGCCCCCTCTCTGGAGGGCAAAGGGGAGGCCGAAGGCTCCCAGGCAGCCTCCTGTGGGCTCATTATGGGCTCCACCCCCTATGATGCCCCCAGCTCCAGCTCCTCTGGCTGCCCATCACCCGCCCCCCACTCCTCCTCCGACCCAGATGATTCCCCTCCGAAGCTGCTCCCCGAGACCCTCAGCCCAGCCATCCCCGACTGGCGCGAGTCAGAGGTCCTCGACCTCTCCATCCCACCCGAGTCGGCCGCCACCAGCAAGCGTTCTCCCCCGGGAGGGTGCAGTGGGGGGCAGACGCCCTCCTTGTCCCTCTCCTCTTCCGACCCGGAGCAGGAGGCCGGCGACTGGCGTCCCGAGATGTCTCCTTGCTCTAACGTGGTGGTCACGGATGTCACCAGCAACCTCCTCACTGTCACCATCAAAGAGTTCTGCAACGCGGAGGATTTCGAGAAGGTGGCGGCGGGCGGCAGCGGAGGCGGCAGCAAGTGAGCAGCCAGGTTCCACCCCCCTCCACCCCCCCGCCAATCCAGGGGCGTGGGGGAAGCTCTATCTGCGAGAAGTCGTGGTGCGAATGGCTGTCCTTAGTTCTCTCCTTCTCCCCTCGGCTGTCCCTCTGCCCTCACTGCCACCCTTCCTCCTCCTTTCCCCCCTGCCCACTCCTTCCTGCCTGGAGGCTGGAGCGTGTCAGTGCAGGGGTGTGGGGGCACCCACCGTTCCCGGGTGTCGCTGCCGCTGGGAGGAGGCAGGGAGGGTCGTGGTGGGACTTGGGGGGAGTGGTTGTTTGTCCTTGAATGTGGTGTTGTCCAACGGACGGTGGAGCCTTTGGGGATGAGGGATGGGTGAGCATGCGTCTGTGTGCCTGTGGGGCTGGTGGGGAAGGCGCTCTTCCTCCTCCTTCCCCTTCCATCCTTGACAAAAACTGAAGAGGAACTCCAGACCCTTGAGAGGAGGATGTAAGAGAATTGGAGCCCTCACCCACGCTCCCAAGCCTTTTCCCACAACGTGCATGCGGTCTCTTCCGTTCCTACGTTTCCCCCTTGCCATGACTCTGATCCTGCCATCCTTCCCCTTCTCGGCCTGTGGCCTGGATCTGCCCTCTCCTCTGCCGTCCTCCTGGCAGTTGCTGATCCAGACGCCCTCAGAGCAAGGGGGAGAGGGGCAGGTGAAGTGTCGTGCCTGGAAGGTGCTTAAGACAAAGCTGGGGTGGTGGGGGTTGCCCCATGCAGCATACGCCCCGTATTGGCTTCCCCTTTCCTTTGACTATCGGTGCTACCTTGGCAGTTGTACGGGCACTTTCAGGTGCCTCGGCCCCTCTTCTCCTGCATCTTCCAGCTTGCTCAGCTCTGCAGGGGGAAGGGAGGAAAAGGGGAGTCCTGCTTCTGGCCCAGATCTTCCTCCTGGTGTTCATCACTTGCACTTGCTTGGGGGAGAGGGCATGAAATGCCCTTCCCCGGCCTTTCCGTGGTGGAAGTGGGAGAGGGCTGTGCATCCATCCTTCAGTTCGGGGGAAGATAGGCCAGGCAGTGAGATGCTGCCCCAGTCAGTTGAGGCTGGTTTCCCACCTTGCACGTAAGCCTCCCCTGACCCTTTTTGCTTCCCCCCTGCTCCCTTGGAAGGAGGGAGGGATGGATGCTAAGGCGGGTCATTCGCTCTTCCTGCTTCCTTATGTGTCTCCCCTTCTCTCTCTTCCCTGTGGCGGATGGCCTGGAAGAGGGTTCCCCTCTTCAGCATCTGAAACAGCCCTTACAACTGTCAACCAAAGGTGCTAATAAGAAACGTCGCTCTCGCATCGTATGCACGTGTGCTGGATCTCTTCCCCCAGAGCTCCTGTGAGCTCATCTAGAAATTCCTTCTATTCACCCCTAGCAAGTAGGAGCGAGCAAGACCACAGCTTGCTGTTCTTTACTCACAGCTCCCTCTTTCCCTGACCACCCTTGTTCACATCCAAAATAAGCTCTCTCATTTGCCTGCCATTTCTGGCTTGCTCCATTTCTGTGTTGAGTCCTAAGCTTCATGGTGAGATCCTGTTCCTTTGCTTTTCCTTCTTCCCCTACTTGCACAGGACTCAGCCTGTAGGGGCAAGGAAAAGAGGTGCTGATCAATCGGTGGGAGAGCCTCACCCCCTCAGCCCCGTCCCTGGTATTCGGGATGGGGCAGAGGAGTGTCACTTCTACATAACATGCTGCAGAGGTGAAAAGGGTGGAAAAAATTCTCCGTGCCAGGGCTCACCTACTTAGAAACCTGCCCTGGGCGGGTGAATGTGAGTGGAATTGGCCCCTCTGGTGCTTCCACATGAGGCTGCTCAGGAGCTGCCAGCTCAGAGGAGTATTCTCGTGTGGAGTAGTGATTTTGTGGTTGCAGTGGTCTGAGGGTAGAAGGGAAGGCAGTCTGTGGGAGAGAGGTAATATTTGTCTGCCCAAGGGGCGTTGTCGGGACGGTAGAGGGATAGACCAGCAGCTGACCTTAATTAGGGCTTCTGTGCCCAGAGCTTGTCTTTTCCCCGCCTCCAGCGCCTGGGTTGGTGTAATAAAATCATTACTGCCCTCCCCACAAGCCTTGCCTCGCAGCTGGTGGCATTCAAAGCTGTGGAGCATGGTGGATTCACACCAGTTGTGGTTGGGTGTCTGCGCAGACAGTCCGAGGGGGGTTCCAGGTGCTGTTAGCACCACCCTTTGCACACCTCTTTCTTTTTCTTTCCTTGGTTAAAGAGCTTAGTGGACTCTTTGGGGATGCAGTTGCATTCACAGCTGAAGCTAGGGGCAGGGAGGAAGAGACTTCCCTGAACCATTCACCAAGCTAAGGCTTCCTATAACTTGTTGGACTTGTGTGCGTGTCTGTATTAATACCTGCCTGTATTTTTTCGTGTCTTTTTTGGTTTTGGTTTCTTGTTTTTTTTTTTTTTTTTCCCCGCATCTTTCCTGTGCCTGGCACACCCAGGGATCCCTTATTTTAGCATAGCCTATCCATTTGACTGCAGCTTCAAAGATGAGCAGTTTGTAGGCATAGGGAAAAGCCCGTTCTTAGGGAAATAGCGAGGAGATTCTTCTCTTTTCCCCCCCACCCTTTTCAACAAGAACTATTCTGCAGTTGCAAGATAAGAGGAGCTTCTTTGTGGGGTAGATGCAAACTGGCCAGTCACTTTAGGTTGTTGAGTTACTGTTTGGTGTGTATGTGGTGATGTGTTTTGTTTCGTGGTATTGAGGTTCTGAAAAAAAGAGAATAATTGAAGCGTTTAAGTGGGAGATAAAAGGGAACTTTAATAGGAAACTCTTGATGTGTTTTGGCCAAGATGTGTTTGCTTGGCAGAATTCTTTTCCCCAGTGTCTCTTGTATGGTGTTCTTTGGGGGCAGGGGACAGGAATTGTTTAATTGAAGGGGTTTTGCCTTTCTCCAGAGTGACAAGCAAGGGGACTGTCTGTGAAGAGCAAATCAGTGGGTCATTGCAGGGATACTCCGTGAGGACCTTCTTCCTGTGGTGAGATGATGGGGCTTGTTGTGGCAGAGGAACTCGTGCAGTAGATCCTCTTTGTGGAGGAAGAAAGGAGTATGATCCGGCTTGCAGACACAGCTCAACTGCTTGTGTGACAAATCTCTCCCTGGGTGGATCACCAGGTGGGAACCAAATCCTGAACCTTTGGATCCAAAATGAGGATCCTGTGCTGTTTTGAGTTAGAGGTTTGCTAACTTGAACGCAGCAGCAGCCTCAAGTTCCCTCAGGTGGACAAGCCACTTGAGGCTGGCTAACCGACCTTCGTATTCACGTGGGTTACACTCCTCCTTCTGAATTTTTGCCTTTGCTCCTTAATGGAGGTGGGAAAGAAAATCCATCCATGCCATTTAAGAAGTGCATGGGATTGAGGAAGGAGTTTATTTGAAAGTATCCCTTTCCCTTCCCCGTAACTCCTAGAAGAAAAAAACACAAGGAAAAAAAAAAAAAAAAACAACAACAAAACAGGGAAGTATTCTCTGTGTCTGTGCCATGTTTGTTCTCTTGTCGTCGTGTTTTTAGAGGAGATTTTATGATGGAGTGGATAAAGTGAAATGATTAGTTTTGCATAAAAAAAGAAAAGTTTAAAAAAAATTTCTACAGGGAGAGAGAGAGAGAGAGAGAGTTTAAAAATGAATAATAAATGCAGTGATTGCACAAACTGTAGTGGTATTAGATGGTCCTTAGAGAAAAGAGTATTTTGTAGTATCAAAGCATGTGTGTCTGGGATGGTGTTTGGCTTGCTTGAACTGGAGGGAAAGGCATTCTGGGACTAAGCAGCGATCTCTGAGCTGAAAAGGCAAGTTGTATGTTGGAGGAACCCTGTCTACAAACCCTTCCCGTCCTTGCCTCCCAAGTGTTGGAGTGAGTTCCCTTCCCTCTCATACCTCTCCTGTGAGCTAAGGTGGAGTCTCCAAGTGGTTTTCCGGCCAGGCGGCCCTCAAACGGCCGGTCGCGTTCTGCCAGAATGTGGATCGGGCCACCAACATGGAAACAGTTGACTGACTTTGCATGCACAGCAAGCTGCTAAGATTTGGGGTTGGCATGTACCTTTCCTGCCAAGTCACTGTCTCTTCTCTTTTCCCTCCCCCATTTCCAAGCAGGAATAAACACAGTGGGCTTATCTCCTGGGAAGCAGATATGCCTCCCCTCCTTAGGGTCTCTTAGCTTCTTCCAGCGTCAGGTAGGGAATGGCGTTTTTCCGTATAGGATTCACCACGCCCGGACAGAGCACCGAGTCCCATCTGTATGCAGTCTGGTGTCCCATCTCTGACAGTGGCTGGATCTCCAGAGGCAGATGAGAGCGCTGCCTTGTGTGCTCTGAAGGTGCTGCCGAGCAAGGGACACTCTCTCCTTGAGGCCAGCAAATGCTGGAGCTTTTGGAGCGGGGCGGGGAGAGGAACACCCTGATGGGACTGTGCTCAAGTGTAGGGCTGCTGCCTTCTGCTCTGGCTTCCTGCGAGGTGGCAGGGAAGAGTTGCCTGAATGCTTCTTCGAAGTGGGGAGGCAGCTCTTGGGTGCTGGCTTCCCCATCCAAGACGTCTCTGCTGGGCGTTCATCTGGTGCGTGGGAGTGACTGCAGGGAAGAGGGGAGCCACCAGATGTTGGTGTCTGAACAGAAGGTGGCAGGCAGGGATTCGCTAGGACAGCTTTTCTTGTCTGGACTTCTCTGGTGCCCTTGGCTTTGCAGTGGCTGGTGACGAACGTCTCGATGCCTCCCATGGCCCGGGCTGTTCTTGGGAACTTCTTCTTCTCCTCTGCCCATCGAGCTCTGTCAGTGCTTCCCACAGCCTTCAGCTTGGAGCGGCAGCCTCCTGTCTCGTGCTCTCTTTTCTCCTCGCTGAGCAGAGTGGGACTGGGGAGGCGTGAAGCTAATGAGATGCAAGCTCCTTTCGGGATGGAAAACGGAGAAATAGTGTGGTGAGCAGGCCCAGCTGGGGTGTAAGCCACTGCTTAATTTCTGTTTTCAAAAGAGAAAGGGAGCATTTCTCTGCGTCTCCCCTTACCGAAGTTCCCAAGGAGATTTTATGAAATAAAAAACAAACCAACCAACCCAGTCCTGCTATTTACCAGGTAGCAGCTGTCTCTGAGCTGAGTCTTCCTAGGGATTTCACTCCCTTTCCCAGCCCCTCTTTGTAGAGGAGGTTTCGGCAGCTCCCAGTGTTTGGAGATGATCGCCTTCCTGGGGACCTCCTGGCAGAAAGAGGTTGCCATGCTGAAGGATGGTGTCCCGAGTCCCCCACGCTTCTGCCCGCCCCGAGTCGTGGCACTGGTGGGGGCTGCTCAGGAGCAGGTCCTTCTTCCCAGGGAGGTGTAACAAACCTGGAGTGCATGTCTGGCTAAGTGCTTATTTTTCCCCTCACTTCCTTCCCCACCTTCCGACAAGACCTTTTCCTCCTTGCCTGGCGCATCCTTTTACTCCAATGTCGCTTGCTTTTGCTGCATTTTTCAATCGCCCAATAATCGTGCAAGAGCTGGGATCTTATTTACTTTTTATATATAAATATATAAATATAAAAGAAACCCTCTCCCCTCCCCTCTTTCCCCCTGTCTCACCCACCACCCTGTGCGCAGCCTTCCATGATCTCTGCTCTGAAGGCGCTGTGCCGTAGAGGGTTAATTTGGGGCCGGGGATTCAGTGCCTCCTGGGTTCTGCTCCTTCTTGGTTTGCCGTGGCCTTTCTGCCAGCTGCGTCACTGCCCTGTGCCCCTGTCTCCCTTGTGCGAAGGGGGTGGAGGGTGGAGGGGACCATCCTGCTGAGGGTGCTGGCAGCCCGACTCCCGCGGCGTTTGCACAGAGCCAGAGGAGTGCTGAGTATTGCTTCAGAAATCCCCCTCTCCCTGTCCGTGCTTCCTTCCCTAGGTAACTCCAGCAAGGATCTGCATTTCATCAACGCTTCGGGGTTGAGCAAATAAGTGGCTTTATTTTCACTTCTTCAGTGTTTTTTTTTCAGATCCCTCCCCAGAGTGCAATGTATACGGTTTCTTTTTGGTGGTGTAGATGGGAGGAGATGTTGTTATCTCCAGCCCTCACCTTTACCCTTCCGTCCTCTACTTCTCCCCCCTTTCGTTGTTGTCCTGGGTCACACTGACGTGGCTGGTGGGGTTTGCACCCTTGTCTCTGCAGGGTCAACAGCCTCAGCACCAGCAGCTCCGCGTGTGTTCTGCGTGGTGCCTCCGAGGTGCCTGGGGTCCCACCTGCCTTGCGTGCGGAGCTGCCGCAGGGCCTCGAGTTTTTCTTTCTCCCTTTCTTTATATTTCTCCTTCGGGGAGCAGAAGGGGAGGTGTAGTCAATGTGCCCTTCCCGTGGTGACGGGCTGCCTCTGTCCCTTCCAGGGGTGGGGGGAAACGAAATGTCTCCAGGGCTGTCCGAAAGCGCGGTCCTTGGGGTGAGTGCTGTGCTTTGAGCCCTCTCCCCGCAGGCGCCCGTGCCGGCAGAGGCGGCGCTGGGGGTCGGCTGAGTGGAGCAGGGAGATGGGCGGCAAGCCGCAGCGTGCTGCCGCGCAGGCGAAGGGAAGGAAAGTGCCAGAAGAAGGGCGAGGGGCAGCCAGGGTGAGGCCAGCTTCAGCGGCGGCTCGGCTATATCTGGGGGCAAGCAGCTGGAAGCGTTAATTCCCATCGCAGGGCCCCCGGTTCTCGACTTCGTTCCGCGTTCAGCTGAGCACTTAGAGCTTGCACTAAGCCGCGGGGCTGGGCGCATCAGAGCACTGCGTGGGGTTTCGGGGCCTCGTAGGACTGGCAGGGCCCTTACGGGCTCCTGAGCATCCCCCCCCCAACCTGCACCCCGCTCTCCAGGGGTGCTGAGGGCTTCCCTGAGGGTTTCCCTCTGGGCAGAGCACTTGTGCAGGTAGGTCGCTTTTTAGCGGTCCTGGAGGGAGCCCGCTGCTTTCAGCCCCCCCAGCTGCAAAGGAGTACGTAACTTTAGGTCAAGTTCTCAAACAGAACAACAAAAAATTCATTGTGATGACTTTTTTTTTTTTTTTTTTTTTTTTTTTTCCTTCCAGAAGTTGTTGTGCTTGTGCCTCCCCCAGGCTAATCAACTTGGCATGCTGTCCTCCCCTCCTCCTTTTCTCTCCCCTGCCGTTAAGCCTTGTACTGTCCTTAAGAATAGAGGACTCTCTCTATTTTGGGATATTTTTTTTTTCCCCCCCTGTTTGTTTTCTTTTTGGATAGAAAGTTGTCCGCTGGTGGTGGAGGACAGGGGCCTGCCTCATCTGTTCCTTCCTTTCACCTTCCCCAGTGCCAAGCTTAGGCTCAAATCCTGCAGATTCCTGCAAATACTGAACTTTGAGCAGATGAGTTACCCCACTGAGCTATGTGGTACTTGGGTGCTTCAGATTCTGCCTGTGCTTGAGTTTTGACAGCATCAGAGCCTTATCCTTTCTCTTAGAGAAGGTCAGACCTAACTCCTAGAGTGCTGATGGTTCTGGTGCAACCCATCTGTCTTTTATTTCCCCTCACTTGGCATACAGAGTGGAGGTGGTAATTTTTTTTTTTTTTAATTTAAAATAAACCTAAATATGTATCTTGTAATTTTTTTATTTTGAAAAAAATGCATTTAAGGATTGTGCACGGATGAATTGTATATCTATATTTTTTTTTTGTCTTGCAATTTTCATTTTAAATATAGTGTTTGTTCAGTTTTTGTTTTGTTTTGTTTTTAATCCAGTTCCCAGCTGGCTAAACTCTGTCTAGAGCGGATGGGTGGGAGGCATAGCCACTGGGAGGGGTGATCGAATCGCCCCTTCCCCTGGCGCTTCCCACAAGAAAATGGTTTGCTCCAGGTTTTGGGGGTGGGGGTTGTGCTAATTACTCTTGTATTCTTGTACATTTTGTTCTTTCTGCTGCTCTTGAATATTGTATCAATGCCAGAAATGGGGAGTTAAAAATTTAAAAAAAAAAAAAAAAAAAAAAAAATTAACCCCAATAAATTGTTACATTCCAAAACCTGTTGTCTTCTCTTCCTTGGGCGGGCTGTGACCTGCTCTGCAGTCAACCAGGAACACGCTTATTGCCTCCTCGTGTAGCGTGGGTCAGGTCTGCTTTGGGTCTTCAGACCTCTCCAGAGACGGAGGAGCTCTGGCAAAGGAGGAGGGAGACTTTGACTTTTCCTGTAGTGCTGAGGGAGAGGAGGGGGGCACTTGGGAGGAGCGTGGTCAGGCTGCGCTTGCTACAGTTCAGCCTTCCCGGAGTACTTTGGAGAACCTCCCATGGCTCTCCTGCATCCTTTCCTTTTAAGAATGGAATTAAATCCAAGTACAACCTAGCGCTTGGTGGCTGAAAGAATGCTTTAGGCTTTTCCCAACTCCAAAATGTGTGCCTAAGTGTACTTTATGACATGCTAATTGAAGAGAGTAGAGTGAAAAAATACTCTTAATGTGTGTAATTAAAGCCCCGCGTTCGCTCCATTAGTCTCTTGCTTATAGAAACACAAAAAAAAAAGTTTACAGCGAAATTTCAGGTGGGGAAGTGCTGGTGGGGGGAGATGGGAGGGGGAAAGCAGATGGGGTGTGGGTGAAGAGCAAGGCTGTCAGTACTTTTGGGTGCTGGGAAAGGGCAGCGGCTGGGCACGGCTCCCGGGCGTCACCACGGAGCTGCCTCCCACCCAACCACCCCCAGGGCTGCCCTTTGGGGTGGCGACTGGGGTCTCCCCGCTCCGGGCGAGTGCCCGAGGTGCCAGGGCTGGAGAAAGGCTGGGAAGACCCACGCCAGCCTCGGCCGGACACATCCCACGGGGTCCTGTAACCGGGGCGAGGCGACACAAGCCGCGTCTGTGGGGCTGTGAGACCTGGAAATGGAAGAAGACAGGGTTTTCCACGTTACGTGGAGGCTGCAGAGCCCCAGGTGAGATGGACCGAAGGCTCCTGGTTTAAGAAGGTCCGCGGGGAAGAGCTTCTTCCAGCTGCAGAAGAGCCTTTTTGCCCCGTGAGGGTGGCCCTGGGTGTGCCTGCGCGCTGGGCAATAGCCCCAGGGGGGGGCAAATCCCCTGCCCCAGGGACCCCCCGGTTACCCTGGCAAAGGGACCTCACACACACACACACACACCCCCACCCCACCCTGCTGGCCTGAGCACCATGAAAGGACCAGGCTTTCCCTCAAAAGGCTTGTTCCCACAGACAGGCTTGGACGGGGGGGGCAGTGCATCCACCCGGCTCAGAGCAGGGGGTGTCCTTCCCCCCCCAAGCCAGCAGCCCATCCCAAATGTCCCTCTTACCCCGTGGCCATGGCTGGGTGACCCCTTGGCCTGCCTTGCCCTGCCCACGGCCACCCCTTGGGGACAGCTGCCAGCCCCAGACACCGTTTGGGCGTTGATTAGATGGAATAAAAGCCCTTTAACCGCTCGCTCCCTATCCCCCTCTGGGCTGAATCTTTGAGCTCTTGTTAAAATCACCTTCTGTCGCCAATCCTGTTCAAAATTGGCCTCCCCAAAGCCCCCCCATTGCCTCCCCCACCCCACCGCCCGCAGGAGGGCAGGGTTTTCAGCATCATCGCATCCTCATGGAGCCGGCTGCCCACCGAGCATCTCTGAATCGTTATTCACAGGACAGAGAGGCTGTTCTGGCTACTCACCAGCCTGAGTCATCACTCCCTGTGAAAAATCTATTTTTGCTGCCTCTTTGTCTGCAGGAGAAAGCCGGGGTCCCTGCTGAGGGAGAGAGAGAGGTCAGGACCCCGGGAGCGGTGAGCCCTGCCCTGCTGTGGCACCCAGCCCTTCCACTCCCGACGTGGGTGAGTGGGTCAGGGCTGGAGTGGAGGGGCTCACCCACCCCACTCACTGCCACGGCGGCGTCACACAGAGGGATAAACCTTGCCACCGCGATCCCACAGCCTTTGGCACTAAAATCCGGATGGCCAGGCCAGTGCAAAGTCCCCAGCACAGCATCGCTCCCCCCAGCCTGGGTCCCCAAAAGCCTCGTGGAGGCATACGGCATTTTTTTTTTGCAGGGTCGCAAGTAAAGGACACCCCTCCCACCCTGACCTGCACGCTGGGGGGTAGGGTGGGCTCGCCCAGCACCCGCTTGGGTGCGTTTTGAATCTGCTCCTGTCTGGCCGCTGACAGGGGTGGGCAGGCCGCAGGCAGGGGGTGACATGGGGGGGGGGGGGGGGGGCTGCCATCCCCTGACACCGCTAGGAAGGGGCAGCTCGGAGGCCAGCGGCCTCCCTTCGTGCCACAGGGCACAAGCTTCCATTTTCTTTGCATCCTGCACCAGCGCCCGCTCGTCCCAGCGCGCCAAGCACTCCCCTGCCCCGAGCGTTCACAGGGCTCCCCCGCCGGCGCCAGGTGCCAGTCGCCGGGCTTTCTCTCTATCCACCTTCCTCCTCACGTTTCCCTTCATCTCTCCCTCTTCCTTAAAAAACCCCATCTCACCTCTCCTCCTCCTGCCCGCAGCCTCCCAGCACCGCAAGCCGGGGAGGCCTCGTGCTGGCTCCAGGGTGAGGATTTGCGGGGGCTGGGGTGCAATGTACTCTGCGTGGGGAGAGGGTGACCGTGCCGGGCTGACAGCATCCCGCTCCCCGCTCACACAAAGCCAAATCTGATGATCTTTTGTAACTCTGGCTCCCTTGCTATCCACTGAAACGGGGGGGGGGAGAAGATGTAATTTTTCCCGGTGTTTCATATCCAGCGCTGGAGCTGTTTTAAACACACATGCTGCTGCTTCCCTGCCAGCTAGGAAGGATTTCCTGCCATCGCTGAGCAGAGCTGAAAACCGATTTCGTTTGCTTCCCCTCCACTGCTCCTCTTTGCTCTGCTGGGCTGCGTAGCCGAGGCCCCGGCGTGCCTGGGGAGGGGAGAGGGCACGGCACGGCTTGTGTCGGATGGGCGCGCGCGCTGTCGGAGCAAGGAGAAGGCAGGTGTCTGAAGGGGCTTCTTTACGGGCGGTTTAGGATAAAGCAATGGTAGGGGAAGACTAAATGTAGGTACTTATTTCCCAAATGGATGGCATGGCCATGCGGGGCAGAGGGCGAAGGCACCTGGTGCCTGCTTTCTGCAACATTCGCGGCTGGGGTGGGAGAGCAGGTCAGCCACCCCGCTGCCCTCCTATAGGAAGCATTTCCAAGAGCTGGAAGGTTGCTGTTTTAATTTTTAGGAGCGAGGCAAGTAGGGAAAGGCCCACCAGCAGCCCAAAAGACCCTCCCGGGGAACACCTGAAGGCGAGGTGCTGACCCTCCGGGTAACGAGGGACCCTTTACTTCCAGCCTAAGCACCTCCCAAGGGAAAATCCTCCCTTGGGCTGTCCCGGAGGAGCATCCCCTCGCTGAAGGCTCCCGCCGGGCAGATTTCAGCCAGCCGGAGCCAAGGCTCTCCCCGTCCTCGGGTACCCCCGGGGTGGCCCCCATCTCCCCTCCCCTTCGGTTCCTCCCCATCGCCGGCGCCCCTTGCCCGCTCACCTCCCACCGCCCGGACCCCTCGCACTTGCTGCCCGGGGGGGGTGTGGGGGGTGTCCCGAAGCGGGGGGGGGGGGGTCCCAAAGCGGGGCAGGGCCGGGCGGGGTGCGGGGCCGGGGCCGGGGGCGGTGGGGGGGGTGGGGGGGGCGCGGGGGCGGCGCGGTGCGTGCGGCACCGCCCGGCAGATATAAGCGCGACGCGCCGGGGCCCCGGCGCCGGTGTCGTTCTTCCCCGCCGGCTCTCTCCGGGTTGTCCGTCCGTCCTTCCTTCCATCCGTCCGTCCGTCCGTTCGCACCCGCTTTGTTTTCTCGCCGTCCGCGGGCTCGGGCCCCCCCACGCCGCTGCCACCCTGAAGTTTCTGGCGGTGCTGCTGGCGGCGGGCATGCTGGCTTTCCTGGGGGCCATCATCTGCATCATCGCCAGCGTCCACCCGGCCGGCACCGCCGCCCCCCCCGCCGCCGCCGCCCCCCCCGCCGCCGCCGACAATGACTCGGCCGCCGCCGCCCTCCTGCCCGCCGCCGCCGACAAAGGGCTGGGGGCGCTGCACGGCCCCCCCGAGGCTCTGGCCAGCGCCGGGCCTCGCCTGCCGGGGGGGCCACCGCCGCCGCCGCTTTTCAGCCGCTTCGTCTGCACGCCGCTGAGCGCCGAGTGCCCGGCCACCGGCCCCGGCCCCGGCCCCGGCCCCGCCGCCGGCCCCGAGGAGCTGCTGGCTCTGCGGAGCGCGGCGGCTCAGCTGCGCCGCACGGCGCTGGAGCAGAAGGAGCGGATCCGAATGGACCAGGAGACCATCCGGGAGCTCACCGGCAAGCTCAGCCGCTGCGAGGGCGGCCTGCGAAACCCTGCGCCCCCCCCTCCACCCGCCGCCGCCGCTCCCCCCGCCGCGGGGCTCCGCGCCGCCCCGCGCCCCGGCACCATGGGGCACCCCCCCGCCGAACCGCCCGCCGTGCGGGAGCTGGAGGAGGCCGTCCGTGCCCTCCAGGACCGCATCGACCGGATAGAGGTGCGAGGGATGCTCCCGGAGATTTAGGGGAGATGCTCTCGGGGGGGGGGGTGGGGTGGGTGTTGGGGGGGGTTTGCTCCCACGCGTGCCGTTCCCCAAGCCTGCAGCCGCGCATACCCCAAACCAGCTTGTCCCCTTGGCGAAGGTTGTCCTTGTTTGTCCCGCTCCTCCCCGAGGTCTCGCCCCCCCCCCCCCCCCCCTCTTCCCGCTGTGCACGGTGGTCCCAAGGGGTCCGGGCTGCTCTGTTTCCCCCCACTTCGCACCCAAGTGGGGCACCTCGCTCGCCCCATCACACCCGCCAAGGCCTCCGCTGGAGCAGGTCCCTCAGCTCCAGGCCAGACCCTGCCCTTTAGCAGAAAGGTAAATCCCACCCGATGCCGTCGCGGTTATGGATGGGACGTCTCACAAAGCGAGGTGCGGTGCCCCCCTACTGCGAGCCCAGCACCCCCTCCCCGCACGGTTCATAAGAGCTGTAGAGAGAAGGGGGCGGCTGGAGCCGCTCGCCGGGCCCATCGCCGTGGTATCGGGCCGTTGGCACTTGGGATGCTGATCCCCTCCCCCGGTCCCCACCCCGTGGCAGCCATGCAGCCCATCACAGCGTGCACCTCTGTGTGGATTTATTTGGGTTGATGGGGGCTCAGCAGTCGCGCGGGCCTCGGACTTTGCAGGATATAGTTGGGGAAATACTTTAGGGACGTGAGAGCTGCCAGAAGGGAGTTGTCTGGTTTCCTTGGGTAGGGGGTGTTGCTCCAGATGTCCCATCTTTTTTGGGGGTTGTGTTGTCCCTTGAGGTCTGCTGGGAGCCAGAGCCTTCTGCAAGACCTCAACCTCCTCATCTCCCCGCTTCGTTCCCTGTTGCCCTCTCCATTCCTCCCTGGAGTGCAGAGCTGGGCAGGGGGGTGTCAGGAAGCACCCCATGGGGTCTCTCCCCCCAGCTTTGCCCTTCTTCCCCCCTCACGCCCTCACTACAGCCATGTGGGCACAGTAGCAACAGGCCACGGGTGGAAAATTCAGAGCCACTAAAGGTAATGGGCTGAGAAATGAGACTGGGAGAAATTGTGATGAATGGAGATACGAACAGAGGTTGAAAGGCAGGGAAAGGCGAGTAAACACATGCACACGTGAAGGGAAAGAGCTGGAGACTGGAGGAAGCGCCTGTGAGCTGCCAGGGTAATGCACACACATGCATGAAAACAGAGGCACACCAAGGACGCGTGGGGACCGGGGGACGTGCAGCCCAGCTGAGCCCGATGCCCAGAGCCCAGTGCAGCCAAAGTGAAGGATAGGGCCGCCCCAAAATCCCCTGCAGCCTCAAACAAACAAATTCCCGTGGGTGGAATCACACAACAGGGCTCAGAAATGCATGTGCAGACAGCAGATGTGTGCTCACCCAGAAATAGAGGGAGAAAAAAATAAACCCCTGCACACACATACATGTGCATGCACAAGGACCAGGTGATGCATGGTGGGACAGTGTCCAGCACATCAGTTTGAACCCTGGGGAGCATCGGGCCTTTAGCTGCTCTCCGTCATATTTTCTCCCTTCCCCAAGGGGCTGCATCACCCGTGAGCTGCCCCGGCCCCTCTCCTGGGGTTCCTGGTGATCGCAGGAGGTTTGGGGTGGTGGAGGGTGAAGCTCACGAGGGCTGGAGCAGGCTCTCAAGTGCACCGGGGAGCCTGAAGTGATGCTGGGGCAAGGCTTGCCCATACTGATGAGGAAGACAAGCGTCACATTGCCAAAAATGTTCCCTTTCACGCTGCTGGGGACAGCCACAGCCTGGCCAGCCGAGCCCTGGGCTCGCACCTCAGCCGTGAGGTGAGGGCTGCCTTGGCTCCCCCCCCAAGTTGCCTTTGCCCCCTCCATGTACGAGCAAACACCACAAAACTTGACAACAGGGTGCTTGCATCTCTCCAGCCCGTGCAGCTCCATCACTCAGCCCTGGGAAACTTCCTGGGGTCTTCCATGGCATGGGGGGCACCCCCAGCCCCCGCTGCTCTCCTAAAGGGAGGTGGCGATCGCCCCGGAAGGGCACCTAGATGGGGGGAGTGGTGGGGTGACTGGTAGCATGCTGGAGGCTCTGCAAAACCCCGGTGAGAAGGAATGAGGGAGAGGAAACCCCGGCAAAGCCCGGGGTGGCTTAGCCTCAGGAGAGGGATGACACAAAACGCCAAAGGCCCCCGGGGAAGGCTGCACCCCGGGGCGTTTCTCGGCGGGTTTGCTGGCAGGGATTACTGCTGGAGGCTCTGGAGCCAGGACTGTGGTGAGGGGGCTGGCAGAAGATCACTGATCTAATTTGGGTGCTCTCGGCCCTAGCTGTAAGGCATAACAAGATTTATTGATGTGCCAAAAAAACCCTGTCAAGTCATTTGATTCTTAATTTTGGCGGCACGGCAGCAGGGTTTCTGGGAGGGGGGGCCGGGGGGATGCAGGGAAGGCCCCCGCGGGCTTGCTTTTTTGACCCCTGCCATTTCACGAGGGAGAGGCAAGCACCGGCGTGGTGTTCACACGAGGGCATCTTCCCTTACCCCCTCCTAGCCTCCACCCCTCCAGGCATCGTTTGCCTTTTCCTCACGGGCAGGAGCCTGGCTGGCCTTTTTCCTCCTGGCTTTGAGGGGTCTCCCCCCCCTGCTCTCCACGTGTGCTCGCGTCCGTATGCTCGGATGCATCTCGGCGTGCAGAGCTGGGGGGCCCAGATGCTCCTTTTCCACGCTTTTAATTACTACTGCAAATGGAAACGGAATCGTTTCGGAGCAGGGAGGGAATCGCCTTGGCTGCCTGGGCTGTGCCGGGGTGCAGATGCCCCCGTCCTCCCCACCAGCCCTTGGAGGGGAGCGGGGGGGACAGCTCGATTGGGCTCTATGGGGGACCTGGCCTCGGTGGAACCGTAACAGCCTGTTTGCTCCTCAGCTGGCGTGCAGCTGTGCCGGCTGTGCCACTGTGGCTCACGACCCGGCTGCTGGCAGCAAACCCTGGGCCCTGGACACGGGAATGGGAGTGAGCTGGCTGCCTCCCTCCTGCCTCCATCTCCGGCAGAGCAGGGTTGGAGAGCCCCAAATCGTGACAGCCCCGGGCCCCGAGCAAGGTTTGAGGGGGATGGGATCAGCGGCAAGCTCTTCTCTTGCGAAGAGGAGGAGGAGGGAAAGGCTGATGCGTCCCTGCTTGCCCCCAACCATGGGCAGTGCCGCCTGGAGTTTAATGGCCCCTGAGCTCCTCCTTGGGTCCAAAAGGGTCTGAAAAGGTGGCAGGGCCCAAAAATACCCTGGTGTGGGAGGTGTGCCATCCCATGGCAGTGAAGCATCGCGTGGCAGCGGCCACGGAGGAGCTGTAGGCAGGCTGAGAGGCTGTGGCCGACACGGGGAGGGTTTGTGGGTCTGAGGAAGGGGATGGAGGCTCTGTGTGCGCACACCCAGCTCAGCATCATGATCCCTGAGATGTGCCGGGGCATTATCCCCCCACGGGCATCACCCCACGGGCCTGCCCGCCCCATCTCAGCAGCTAAGGTGGGCACTCGCGTGCCGGCAGCTGAGGGGGAGTGGCAGGGCCCAGATTTGCCGGTACATTAGTAAATGAGGCTCTGATCTCCTTACATAAATCAAAGTGCATTCGCCGACCGAGGGCTACAGCCCGAGCGAGCGCCCGCCAACGTGTAGCCCCCCCCTGCCCCCACCTCCCCCTCCCCGCCCCGCCGCCAGCCGCTGACATTTAATGTGATTAATATTACCTGGCATCTTTCAATCTTTTTTGCCGGCTCCGGTGGCCAAAACGCGTTGAGCAAGCCTCCCCCGCACCCGCTGCCCACTCCCCTGCTGCCTGCGCGGCGGCAGATGGAAAGCCGGGTGCCTGCGGAACAGCCGGGGAGAAGGCGCTTCCCCCCACCCCCCCCCCCCCAACCCGCCCCATCTCCCCTCCCCAAAGGTCACCGGTAGATAACAGCTGCACATCTAGCATTAATAATTTTGCAAATAATTTGATTCGGGAGAAAGAAGCTCAGAGATGCAGAGGATGGTTAGGGGGTGCAGCCCGGCCCGGCACCGCGGGGATCACCCAGCACATCCCGGCTGCGGGGAGCTGAGTGGGGAGGTCCAGGCTTCTGTCCGACCGTGGTCTGGCTGTGGGGATGGGGATGGTGTCTGCTGGGATGCTCCTGGGATGACGGGGTGGCCCCCAAACTCTTTCAGATGAGGGTATTGGCTGCACCCCTTGCCAGGAGGAACATGGGGTGGGCAGTGGTTCAGCCGGCTGCGTGGGTCCGGCTGTCGGTGCCCCAGAGCCGGGCTGGAGGGGCCAGGGAGAGAGGGGGATGGAGGGGGAAAAACTCAGGAAGGGGGAAGGAATTGAGCAAAAGGGGAGAGACAGCGTGTGTGTGCGCGGAGGGTAGCATCAGGAGGAGACGTTCCGAAGGCAGATAAATTAAAAAGCCATAGGGAGAAAAGTTACAGAGGGAAGAAAATAGCAGCACGAAGGAAAACAGGAGGAAGGGGGAGGTAAAAAAAAAAAAGCGCTCAGTCACTACTGAATAATGTAGGGCAGGCTATCGGGGGCTAGCAAGAGTGACAAAAGCTCCCAGCCTTTTCTTTTTTCGTCATTAACAGATGGAGCCGTGCATGAAAGCAGGAACGTAGGCTCCAAACCCGCAGCTCGAGCAATCAAAGCGTGCGGCAGACAGGAGCGTGCCAGCCTCCGCCGCAGCCAGGCGGCCCGACGGGATGAGAAAAGCTCTCGGAGCCCGCGGGATGCGGACAAAGAGGCGAAGGCGACCCCCATCCCACCTGCGCTGCCCCTGCCAACGCAGCCGGCTCCGCTTGGATACGAGCGTGGGCAGCCCTGGGTGGGAATTATCCCTGCCAGGAGGATCAGAATTAACCTTTCCACCTGCCTTTCCTTCCCTCCTGCCATCCTTTCCCTGCCTTTCAGCCGGATGCACCAGCAGGTCCCCGAGACCCATTCCCTCCACCCCCCCCCCAAAAAAATAAAAGCCTTCTCCGTGGGCTAATCCCTCCCTGGTTTATGCAGACCAAAGGCAGGGTGTCCTTTGCCGGGTGCTTTTCAGTTCCCAAAGAGGTTTTGCTGTCCATGAGAGCATCCCCAGTGCTGCTGGAGTAAGCCAGCAGCGAGAGCTGGGTTTTGGTCAGGCAGATGTCCCCTCCCCTGCACAACCTCTCTTTTCTTGCTGGGTTTTGGCCCTCCGTGTTGACTTTCCTCACAAAACCTGTGGGTTTGCCCTAGCAGACCCCACCGGAGGCTCCTCCAGAACATGGGGCGTCGCAGCTTCCCTCTTATTTGCAGCCTGAGTGTGTTGCTGTCCGATGCAGGGCTGTTTGTGCTCACACCACCACCACCTTCTCACTTTTCCTCTCTCCGCTACCTTCTCCCTGCTGTTCCCACCCACCAAGGTTGCATCCCGCCCGGCCAAATCTGGCTTTCCTCCTCCCTTCCCCTCCCCTCTGTTGTTCATGATGGATAGCAAAGGTTGGGGGCGACATCAGCAGTCATTCCCCCCCTTCATCCTTGGGTGCGTGATTAGCGGGTTCCGTCCATCCCGGAAAAGCAGGATGTAGGGAAGAAGGAAAAGCTGGAATCCACCACCATAGATGAGCGTGGTGACCACCTCCAGGCCAGCTCTGAGGCCGAGTGGGGCCTGCCCAGATCAGCAGGGAAGGCATCACCCTGTGTCCCACCAGCACAAGCCGTGAAGATGTCCAGGGCCCATGCAGACCCTTCTCGGTGCCAGAGTGGCCGTGGTGGCCCCTGCTTTGGCCTCTGCCAGACCGAAGGAAGGTCTGGCAGCACAGAGAAGGTGGTCACCGTCTTTCCAAGTACATGGCAGAGAGCCTAATGCCTCAGGGACCTGGGGAAGGGTGAGGGCTGCTATTTATGGAGAAACCTCAGGAGCGTGGCAAAGGACCACATTCTCCCCTCCAGCCTGGTTTTCTTCCATCTGGGATGAGGTCTCCCAGCGAGGTGAGATCTTTGCAAGGCGCAGCAGTAGCTGGGAGCACCTTTGCCAGGTGCCAGGTTTTGGATCAGCCAAGGGAAGAGTTTTGGTCTGGGTTTTAACCCTGATGGGACAAGACGCAAGTGATGGGTCGTGTCTCGAGGACCAGAGACACGATGGCCCTGCCACTGGCCCCACTTCTCTGTGGCATCCCGATGGCCTGGGAGAGGCTGGCTTACGCTTATGGAGAGCTACCTGCCCAACCGGGCACGCGTGCACGCACCCCTGCGTGGTGGCTGAGCTGGGCTAAGAGGATTACAGCCCCGTTCTGTGATGTTAATGTGCCGGCCGTGCTGAAACAGCCTCACAAGCAGCAGGGAGGGGAGCTCCGAGCCCCTTCCTACGTTGTCCTCTCCTTGCCCGTGGAAGCAGAGCCAAAGGATGACCTGAGTACCTGTGTGTCCCGTCCTTGCTCTGTCTCTGAAGTGGCAGAAAGTCATGAAGAGCAGCCAAGCTTCCTTTCACAGTAACAAACTCAATGGGGGGCTCTGAGAGGGGAGGTACAAAGTCAACTGAAGGCTCTTGGAGAAGACCCCACTGTGGATGTGGGGTTGTAGTTTCAGCACTCCCGCAGGCTGGGCATGTCCTTATTTAACCTCTTGCGGTGACACCGCACTGAATTTTCTCTTTTCTCCTTCCTTTCTTCCCTCGCCGGGGCTGACACCGAGTGCAGCAGGAGCTGCCAGCCCGCACCAACGGCTCGGTGCCCACCACCCCAGCGCTCGCCCGCGACGCCCTCCACACCAAGATGGAGCAGCTGGAGGAGCAGCTCCTCTCCAAGATCCTGACCTTGCAGAAGGAGCGCCAGGCTGCCAGCACCGACCGCAGCCAGCAGCAGCACGACATCGAGAAGGAGCTGAACTCCCTCCAGAACCGGGTGACGGAGCTGGAGCACGGTGAGTCCTGCCCAGCGGGGATGGAGGTGGTGCAGGGGGGGTGTGTCCCTATGCGAAGTTGCATCTCCAGGAAAACCCCGGGAAAGGCCACCCTCGTCCCAGTGATGGATGCTGACCCTCCTCTTTCCTCCCCGTCCTTGGCATGCAGGACCACCAGGCTATAGCCCTCCCGACGCCTTCAAGGTGACCATCCCGGTGCAGAACAACTACATGTACGCCCGCATGAAGAAGAGCCTGCCGGAGCTCTACGCCTTCACCATCTGTATGTGGCTGAAGTCCAAGGCCCTGGCAGGGCTCGGCACCCCTTTCTCCTACTCTGTCCCAAGCCAAGCTAATGAGATTGTGCTGCTGGAGTGGGGCACCAACCCCCTGGAGCTGCTCATCAATGACAAGGTCAGCCTTGGGACCGAGGGAGGGAAGCCACTGCCCTCATCTCCCCTGCTTCAACCCCCCCTGGGAAATGATGCTCCTGGGGGTACCGGTGTGGGGGAGCTGGGAGGAAGGGGCACAGGGTGGAGTGGGGAGGCAGGAGGATGGCTCGCCAACGTGGGTTTTGAGAAGGAGAAGCAGCACATCAGGGCGTCTGTAGAACTTGGGGTGCCACTGCTGTGGGGGTGCACCACTTGCTCTGCAAGGGGCTGGGGGGGCCCTGGCGTCCCCCGGCAGCCCCACCGAGCGCTGGGCTCTTGCTCTTCTCGCGAAGGTCGCCCAGCTGCCGCTGAGCCTGAAGGACAAGGCCTGGCACCACGTCTGCGTGGCGTGGACCACCCGGGACGGCAAGTGGTCGGCATACCAGGACGGCGAGCAGCGGGGCGCCGGCGAGAACCTGGCCTCCTGGCACGCCATCAAGCCCCAGGGTGTCATCATCCTGGGCCAGGAGCAGGTATGTGCCGGCCCGACACCGAGAGCTGCTGATTCCCATCGTTCTGGGGTGAAGCCAGCCCCGGGGAGGGGCGGGGGGCAGCCCCCAAATGGGGTGAGTGTGGGGGGCGGCGCAGGCAGGACCGCTCAGCAGGGCACGTTGGCAGCTTGGGCGAGGGGCTTTCCTTCCTGCTCCTCCGACCTCCCGGTGGGCCACGTGTGCTCCTCGTCTTCTCTTCCCTCTTCCCACCCCTCCGTCCCCCATTCACTCCCCGCTTTGTCTTCTCGTATCTCCCCCACACATCCATCCCCTCCCCTCCTTGCTTTCGGGCACCTCGCTCCGCTTTTCCCCAAACTTCTCCCTCTCCCCCTTGCCCTGTTTGCCCACTGGACGCGTGTTCCTTTCTCCCGTCCCCTTCCCTGTCCCGTCACCTCTCCCGCTCTTTCCCAGGACACGCTGGGCGGCCGCTTTGATGCCACGCAGGCCTTCGTGGGGGAGCTGGCGCAGTTCGGCGTGTGGGACCACATGCTGGCGCCGGCGGAGATCCTGGGCTTGGCCAACTGCACCTCCCACCTCCAAGGCAACGTGATCCAGTGGGACGACCAGGCAGTGGAGGTCTTCGGGGGTGCCAGCAAGGGGGGCTTCGCTGCCTGCGAGGAAGGGAGGAAGGCATGAGTGGCCCCTCACCCCCCTCCCCAGCGCCGAGGAGGCCGGTGGCAGCCCCGAAGCCGGGAGCCCCTTCCTCCCCTCCAAGACGACCGAGCCTCGCCGGCACGATGCTCGAGCCCCCTCTGTGCTGGTGTCCTGGGAGGGAGGGGGGCCCCTGGCAGCCTCCCTTTTGCCCCCACGCCGGTGGCGTGGCTTGTCCCCCCTCCCAGCACGCCTGCCCCTGGGTCTCGCCTTGCCCTGCTTTTGTTTTGGGAGGATCTCACCGTACCCACAGGTGTCTCCGGTACGGCGAGGTTCCCCGCCTTGTCAGCCCCAACAAGGAGAGGGAAGGAGACCTCCATCCACCTCAGGCACGGTTCAGCCTTGGTGGGATGCCAGCGTGCGGGCACCCCCTGAGCACATCCCCTTCCCGTATTTATTTCTACCACCTTGCTATCTAGTTTTGTAAGCCTGTACTCCAAATGAGCCCAAAGGCTCGGCCAGGAGCACCTGCCCCTCCGGCTCCATCCCCTCTTCTCCTGCCGCCCTCGTTTTTCAAGTGTGACCCAGGGAGGCCAAGGGAGGATAGTTGGGGGGGTCGGTGGGGCAGTGCTCCCCCTCTGCACTCCTTCCCCTGCCTCCACTGCCTGTCCGGGCAGGGCTGCCCGAGGGAAGTCCGGCTTTCAAGGCAGAGGGAAGCAAAGTGCCCCCCTCCCCACACCCCCCAAGCTGGGGGTGGGGGGGGCAGTCAGCCACCGAGGGAATGGGGGGAAAGGGGCAGAGCATCTCCCCATCCCTGGCCGAGTGGGAGCGACGGCAGCACTGCTGTTGAAGGCAGCAAAAGCAAGAAGAAAAGGAGCTGAAAAACGGTGGTGGCCGGAGGACCCCTGCCGTCTATGCCCTGGCCTTTTGGGCGCTGCCTTGGGTTGCTGCCCTTGCCTCCACCTGGGTCCCCTGCTTTGAGATGCTTCTGGCCAGGGACAGGGCCACCACCAGCCCTGGAACTGGGGGGCAATGGGGCAGGCAGGTATTTTCCCCGTGGAGTGCCTGAGAATATGCTGTTTCCATGCCACATGGTCACCAACGTCTCAATACGCGTGCGTGCGTGCGTGCGTGTGTGCGTGTGTGTGTGTGTGGCTGGGGGCGGGGGGTGGGGGGGAGGGTTATTTCAGGGGTCTCATGGTTGCTCAATGCGGTGTCCAGCTTCCAGTGCTCCCCCCTACCCCAAGTCCCACTTTGTGCTTTCGGCGATGGCTGCTCCCGTGCCCTGGGGGGGTGAAGTGGGCAGAGGGGACAGTCCTGCCCCCCAGCATCACCCCCCACCCCCCCCCCCCCGGCAGGGTCCCCTCCGGCAGTGGGGTGGCTCAGCCCACCAAGGGGGACACAGCGGGGACGGGGCGCAGCCCTTGTGCCAAGTGGGAGACACTGTGACCTCCATGCACCCCGCCGAGCTGCCCCCTCTTCCTCGCTCGCTCGCTTTCTCTAATGCACGTTCGTGAAAGGGGCCCCTGATGCGCGCCCGTGTTGGGACGTTTCTTTTGTAAAGCTGATTGTGAACAATAAACGTGACGTTTTCTGTTCGAGCCTCCTGTGGGGCGCGAGGTCACTGGGGGCGGGGGACGGAGGGTACCAGCCGGCCCAAGCCCAGGTGTCCGTGTCCTTCCCTGCGATGCTGAGGGTGGCATCTCAGGAGGGAGATGGCCGAGCCCGCAGCTGTTACGGCTGGCATTACAGAAATTATCATCGCATGGGGTACAGGCCGCTGCTGGGGGGTCAGGGGAAGCATCTCTCCACAGAGGAGGAACCCCCATCCTGACACTGGAGAAGCAGAAACCAGTGGAAAATCATGGCCTCCAGGTCAGACCACGATGGCAAGGAGCTCACGTCAGGTATAAATCTAATTAAGCACCAGTCGTGAGCTCCTGACGTAGCTAGGCACAAGCTGGTTCATCCTCAGCATGGCTCCTGGAGCCACCTATTCTAGAGCAACCCATGGCCAGGTCTGCACGATGCTTTTGTCCCTCAGTGGGTCTTGGGAAAGGCACAACCTCACCAATATTTGGGGAAAACAGAGCACAAAACCAGAGGACTCAGTTTCCTCCCAGGCCCTGGCACTGCTGTCGTGCCAGTGGGGTCTCCTCGCTGAGCCAGAACTGTCATCCCCCAGCTCCCATTTCTCCTTCTGGAGGGTATTTAATGCTATAAAACAGAGTCTCTGAGCTCCCACCTTCAGCCCTTCAGCACATCTTCTCAAAGTTGATGGTTTTTTTTAAGAAAAAAATAACTCTGAGTATGTACTTCAGCTGGAGCACATGCTCAAGGGCTTTGCGGAGCTGGAGGCTGACCCCCACATCAGTAACAGGAGCGGGTTCAACAAGTGACCTCTGCTTGTGTGCTCAAGTAACAGCAGCAGAATTAGGAAGGACAGCACCTTTTAGAGGAGGAAATGTCCAAAACCATTTCTGAGTTCACAAACTTAGGAGGAGGTGAAATAGGCCGGGGGGACGGGATCAGAAGAACCTTCCTATTAAAACTGCAGGAGTCTTGCAAGGGAGCTTTTAGGGCTGCTGGCCAAGGCAGAAGACATGCGGGAGGATGAACAAGGATGGAAACAGCCTGGCCGCTGGTGTAGGCTATTGGCACAAAACCCGTCTCCTTCGGAGCCCGGAAACCCAGCCCACGCCAAAATCTGTGTAAACCCTCCTCAGAAAAGCAGAAACAAAGGGGACATGAGGCAATGCTTGAGCAGGGACGTCGGTGCTGCCCGTCGCCTCCCTGCCAGACGATGCTGGTGCGATCCCAACCCAAGCTGTGTCCCCAGGACGTGTGGGTCTGTCACTTCTGGGACGGGAGAAAGTGGGGAGCCTGGCAGCACGGCTTCTGCACGGTGACCTCCTTCTCCCCCGAGAGGGTCACAGCCAGTTGGGCAGACCAGGGGGGACACAGGAAAACTTGATATAATTTACCCAGATATTTTAAAAGCTTACGGCAAACACCTCCGTATAAGGCTCTTCAGGAACTGAAGGCATTACGGAGAGATTAGAAACTGGCTGGGAGACAGAAAATCAAGAGTAGGAATAAATATTTGATTTCCATCCTGCCCTGGCTCTCTGCGGGAAGCGGCAGCTGCTTCTCACTCATCTGGGGAGGAGGAGAGCAAGACGGGACCATTTATTTTTGGTAAGCTGAGCCTTGCAATAGCTGCAAACCTGCGACAGGGCTTAAAAGGTGGAGGAGACAACAAATCAATGGCTTTGCTGGCTGGAAGGAGTAATTACAATGACTTACACATATTGCTTGCTTCTAAATTAACCAGGAGCACTCAGGAGAAGCCCTGCGTCTCTCTAAGGGCAGCCGGTTGGAAAACAACACGTTGCGTGCAGAAGAGACGAGGAACAACAAAGTCACCCTTAGTGGGGTTAAAGAAGGGAAATTTTAACGACGGTGCCGAGGAGCTTTTGCGGTTGGGGTAGGCACGTTCAGCTGGGACGCTGTGTTGTGTCCAGATACCTGAGATGGAGGGGAAAAGAAACGGAGGAAACCCAAGGGGTGGGCAGGGCAGAGGCAGGGCCACCATCGGGCTACGGGCGGTCCAGCAGGCCTGGCACAAGAGGAGATGGCGGATGTGATGGATGCCGCCTTCATGTTCTCCTCTATCTCCCCACCAAGAGGCTGTTAACACGCTTCCAGGGGAGGAAAGGGGCTGCCACTTCCCTTCCTAATCTGCAGGACTCACTGCTGCAGGGCTTTCCGCGGGCCAAGGGCTTGGCCAGGCTCACAAAGGGCTCTGTCCTCTAGTAGTGAAGAACAGATCAAACCCGGCGATGGGAAACCTTCAGGCCTGATGGCTGTTAATGATTGGGGTTTGAAAAGAAAAAGCTTCAATTCCTGATCCCCTCCAGCCCCTGCCCGGCTTTCTGGAGGGCACCACCAGCCGTGCAGGCTCTGCCTCCCCGGGGACACGGGTAGACCTCAGGCCCCTGTCCCGGGGGGGACTCCGGGGACCTCCTGCGCTCCCTGACACCTGCTGCCTCAGCTTTGGGCTCGCAGACTGTGGCTCCCTGCGGCATGTCAACCTCCCGGCCCCCTCCAACGAGGTCAAGCCAGCCTGTACTTCGTCCCTGTGGGGTGACAATTCCAAAGCCCCCATTACTCGCGCTGCCCTAGCAATGAGGGGGGGGGGGGGGGGGGGCTGCCTTAATTGCCTTCCTGCGCCTTCCCAGCCTGCCGGGAGCCTCCTCCGCTCCCTCCCGGAGCCTTGAAGGCTCATTAAGACTCGTGCGGCGCTCGCACGGGGAACGTGGCACAGGAACGGTGCCTGCACGGCTGCTACAGCTGCGGCAGCAGCCGCTACTAGAGGTAGTAGATACAGGATCACGTGCGGGCCACTGCCTTGTCCAGCAGACCAGGGGACCTGGCTGTCCCAAAGCGGGTTGCGCTCTCCTCTGGAACAGAGGGACAGGCTGCTTTCGGCTGCCACCCGTTTCCCAGCACCCCTGTCTCTGCCTTCCCTCAGCTCAACACAACACAGTGGGGCTCTGATCCCAGCAAAACATGGCTTCAGCATCCCCACGGGGCCTCCTGAGCGCTCCTCCTGCCTCCAGAGAGCTGCAACCATCTTACCCACCCTGGGGTGGCTGCAGGGCAGACCTCGGCGTGTCCCAAGTCCCCAGCCCGGGGGCTCTCTGGTACAGCCCCCAGCCCCTGGGCTGTGGCTGACAGGCAGGACAGCAATCTCTAGCCCCCTGCTTTGTCGCAGATGGGGTATGGCAGGGTCTGGGATGACAGGGAGGTCCCAAAACCTGGCCAGAAGCAGCCAAGAAAAGAGAGAGTCTGTGGGTGCCCTCCGCCTGATGACAAGTCAGCCTGCTGTCCGGTCTCCTCCCACCATCAACAATGAAGATGGCTAAAAGAAAGCATGGGGCAGTACATATATTATATATACATATATTTTGCAGTTGGCAGTTATATTTCTGTCTCTCAGCTAAGTAGTACAACACAATCTAACATCAGGTGGCAAACAGCACTTCTTTGTTTCAGTGCATTTCACCATGGCTGCTGAAGGCAAAGGGCTGAAAGAGTTTCCCTCTCTAATGAGTGGTGAATAAGAAAGGACCAGCCAGAGCAGAGCAACAATTACAGCTCCTGACAAACCCAGAGGAGCAAATCAGACCCTTGCTCTGGACTCGCCTTCACCTACAGACAGGCACCTGGTCACTCAGTATGGAAATTAAAGACCAGGTGATGCGAAGGCAGCCGTGTGTCTGCCTTTCACACTGGCAGCTAAGGGACCGGTACGTGTCAGCCGTGTGGGTCCAACGAGGCTTTGACTGGCTTGTGGTGGTGTAGAGAGGCAACCTGCAGAAACCCTGCACGTGCGGGTCCAGAAACAAACAGCCCGCGTTTTGCTAAGCCATAGCAGATGGGGACAGGCCAACGGGATGCTCTCCCTCCTAAGGAGGCACCTCCACCTTGCAACCCGCCCGTATCACTCACCCCAATCACAAAAACGACAGTGTTCCTATCTTTGTGCCTTCTGCAGTCTTGGGTTTGGCCATTTTTCCTTAGCTTTTCAGCGAGGAGCCGCTGATGAATAATCCTTACAACCAGTCCCAGCACTTCCCATAGGAAACAGTCTCTGGGGACACATTGATCAAACCAAAGCACATTTAATTGAACCCAGAATCACATACGCATGCGTGCTCCCCCCCCCCCCAAACAGAGGCATACACACACAAACACGCTCGCTCATGCCGACTCGCTGCTTAGTAGCGAAAGTGGGTGAACTACATAGGGATTAAAGCATTAAAAAAAAACACAGCAAGAATACGATGCTTGAAAGCGCTGTGTCCCCAGAGAGATTAGAGTAGCTGCCTGGAGATAAAGTAATGATGATGGAAAGATCTTCCTCGCAGAGATTCTACTCCTAATTATCTCCTCTACTTAAAAAAAAAGGCAAAAAGAAAAGATCTCGCAGCTTTTATCTCTCTCTTGACAAATTTAGCTCTGCGCCTGCCTCGCTGCAAGAGGTCAGTGCTTGCTGAAAGGAGGAAGGAGAAGGAATGGGCGCAGGAGGTAGGAGCAATAGGAGAACGAGGGAGCCAGGAGGCAGCAGTTCATTTCTGTCACCACCAGCAGCGAAGGCAAAGGGAAAGATGAATTATCACTGCAGTGTTGTCTTTTCGAGCCCAAAGACAGCTTTGCTGCCTCCACCGCTGCTTTGTCAGGCAGATGACAACGAGGAGGTCTGATTCACTGTTACACCAGCAAGAGAGACAAGATGTCCTCCCTATGATTATAGGGCAGAGGGGGGTGCTCGGAGATTATAGTGAGGGAAGAGGACTTCTTCACAAACTGGCAGGAGCAGGAGGGTGCCCAGCTTGTTCCTCCCCCCACTCTTCTCCTTCTCAGACAGCTAGAAAACAATTATTCTTTCAGCAGGCAGCCAGGAACGAGGGCGTTTCAAACATACACCCGCCAGAAGACTGCACGAAAGATCAGACCCATGAGCCGCCCTGCAAGAGAAGGACGGGCCCTGATGGAAACTCAAGCATGACGGCCAGCAGCTCGGGCTTTGCACGGG